TACTTACTTAGGATTAATGCTTCAAGGAAAAAAAACTATACCAGAACACATCTCTGCAGTATTTTCTATAATTATGAAAACTTAGGGCTATCTTTATATATCTAGCAATATGGGAATAAGCTATAAACTTATTGCTTTAGTAAAGAATAAGTAAATAAGTAGAAAGATAATCAATAAAAGCATTAGCTTTTATTTATTAGATGAGTAATAAATGCACATGGTAAAAGCACAAAAAATATAAAGACATAAAATGTGAGGGCTGGTTCCTGTGCCTGAGATAATCACTGCTAATAGCTTCTTTTATGCATTCTAGAAATTTTATGTTATTCAGCTTAAGTAATTTTAAGTCTTGAACTATGGAAACATATTTATAAGTAAAAAAAGCAAAGTATAAAATTTATTCTCATTAATAGCAATTATATAAATTATTAATAGAAATTATATAAAATATGTAAGTATGTCTAAGGGTTAAAAGCCATTTTTTTAAAAAGCCATTTTCTATGATTAAAAAATTACAAACTTATTACAGAAACCTTAGAAAATACATAAACCTTGGAAAATATATAAAAGGAATTATTGATATTCCCATGTGAATATCAACCATGTGATATAATTTGGTCTTTTCTGGCTAATCCTTTTCTCTATGCACAAGTTAACTGTTGTATTACGGTTATGATTTAGTAATCCTTTTCCCCCACTTATCCTTGTTATTGTAAGTATTTTCACATACAGATCATTTTTAATAAAAAGTAAGAGTTTCACTAATAGCCACTAACACTTAACATCTCAGGAAATTTCAGTACTGTTGTGCTGTGCTAAGCTGCTTCAGCCGTGTCCAACTCTCTGCAACCCCGCGGACTGTAGCTCTTCTGTCCATGGGATTTTCCAGGCAAGAATACTGGAATGGGTAGTCATTTCCTCCTCCACGGGATCTTCCCGACCCAGGGATTGAACCCATGTCTCCTGAATTGGCAGGCAGATTCTTTACCACTTAGCCACCTGGGAAACCAGGTGAATTATAGATGAGGGCAAATTAACTGCATGGAAATGGACTGGCTGATTCACTTACACATTAAAGTACAGAAATGACCTAGATACCGATGGCCTCTTTCACTATAAACATTGTATGATTCTGGAATACTAGGTCTTGACTCGGTGCATCCAAGAAGCCTTAAATACTTTTATTAATAAAACTACAGATGCCTGAAGCCCACTCCTCAAGATTCTGATTCAGCAAGTCCATCCAAGAACCAAAATATCTATTTTTAAAGCATTTAGGAACGTATTAAATACAATTAACACTGCTGCATTAAAACATGAAAGTGGCTGAAAGTAAACGCTGAGTTCTCATCACAAGGAAAACATTTTTTTCCCCTCTTCTATAATTTGGTATCTATAGGAGATGATGGATATTCACTAAACATTTTGATAATCATTTCATGATGCAAGTCAAACCACTGTGCTGTACACTTTAAACTGACACAGGGAGACTCCCCTGGTGGTCCAGCGGCTAAGACCCTGCACACCCATACAGGGGCCCGGATCCGATCCCCGGTTGGGGAACAAGATCCTGCAAGTCGCAACAAAGATCAAAGGTCATGAGAGCATCAACGAAAGACCCGGCACGGCCAAATAAATAAATAAATACTAGAAAAGAAACTTATACACAGCGGTATGTCAATTATATCTCAATAAAACTGAAAGGGGGGGAAAAAAAGGTTAAGTCTGATACAGTTCAGAAAATCATTCTACTTTCACTCCCTCCCCCTCCCCCGCGCGATGGGGCGATCTCTGCATCTTTCGATCGATGTGCCCTCTCGCCTCAAAGATGGATTTTCCTGCTATTATCTAAATAAATAGAGCTGTAACACTGAAAAAAAAAAAAGAAAATCATTCTAACTTTTTTTCCATTATAGTATCACCTGTATTATGTATTCAATGCTTCAGCTGATGTAAAATAATTCAACCTATTAACTCCAAATTCATGAATTTCTACCTTAATAATTATTTATGGGGGCTTCCCTGGTGGTCCAGGAGTTAAGAATCCACCCGCCAATGCAGGGGACAGGGGCTCCATCCCTGGTCCGGGCAGACAGCAGGTGCTGTGGGGCAACTAAGCCCACGTGCCCTAGAGCCTGTGCTCCACGAGGAGAGGAGAGGGGAGGGGCCGCCAGGACGCCAAGCCCTCGCGCCACATGAAGAGCAGCCCCCACTCGCCACAACCCCATGTGCGGCGACGAGGACCCAGCACAGCCAAAAAGAAATAAAAAATTTAAAACTCATTTATGCCCTCTAACTCAATCATTTCTGAAAGCCTATTTTAACCAGAAAATAAAACAACATTATACATTACACAAAGATATGCTACTTTTAACTTTTTCTTAAAACATAGTATCATTTTTAATGTCTTAAAAACTGAATGCAATATAAACGTTCAACCGGTGAACAATTATGGCAAACTTATGACAGAACACTAATCAATACCTCTAAAAACTGACAATTACAGGCTTCCCTGGTGGTTCATCTGGTAAGGGATCCACCTGCAATGCAGGAGACCTGGGTTCAATCCCTGGGTTGGGAAGATGCCCTGGAGAAGGGAAAGGCTACCCACTCCAGTATTCTGGCCTGGAGAATTCCATGGACCCCATAATCCATGGGGTGGCAAAGAGTTGGACACGACTGACCAACTTTCAAAAAAAAAAAAAAAGACAATTACCTTTTAATAAAATAAAACACTCATAAGACTGTAAGAAAATATCAGTATACAAAACTACCAGTGTGTGCAGGCCTCGATCTCTGTTAAAAATAGAGATTTGAAATAAATGAAGATTTGAAACAAAACTGGAAGATTTGATCCAAACTGTTAACATTTGTTATCTCTAGGTTTGGGAGTTATGGGTAGCTTTTATTCTCTTGTTTATAGTTTTCCATGCTTTCCAAATTTTCTACATAATGTATTTTATAATTAGGGAGAAGAGTTGGCCTGGTCTTCTGACACAGGCTAGATAGAAACAACAGTTTGTTCCAAGGCGAAAGGGATTTAGGTTTCATAAAGATATCCATGAATTAATTCTTACAAATACTTATCAAAGGCTCAAAATTTAAAACAAAGATGAAGACCATTAAACCTAATACAGCACCCACATTCTAGAAGCAAATCAGTTACTGTAAGGAAGCACTCCTATAAGCTCAGCAGGTGAGGAATGTTTCCAGTGAGTCTGGAGGTGATGATTTAAACTTCCATCGGAGCTGACTGAGTACGGCGCGGCAGGATCTACCTAGCACCTGGTGACAAAACTAACTCACCTCCTGCCACGAAGGATAGCTCATCAGAGCCTAGAGGCTGTCTGCGGCTCAGATGCTCTGTGACTCTTCGCCACCCCATGGACTGTAGCCCGCCAGGTTCTTCTGTTCCTGGAATTCTCCAGGCAAGGATACTGGACTGGGTTGCCATTTTTTCCTTCAGGGGATCTTCCCCACCCAGGAATCGAACCAGCGTCTCTTACATCCCCTACATTGGTCCAAGGCTTCTTTACCACTCTCTGTCACCTGGGAGGCCCCAAAAGACTCTCTATTGTAAAAGCAATAACAGCAGCATCTACTGAAATTAACATGCTTTGAAAGAGTGGGGGAAAACAATCTAGGAAAGTAATTACAGGGAACTAGCTAAAATGGAGAGGTGGGATATTTAAAATTATTGCAAACTCCTAAATATTTCCTGCAAGGATTAGCCCGTGGTGGGTACTATGCATCCAGGATTTTCAAAGATTTCAACTATTCTATCTTTTTGTCCTCACAGCACACTCAAACTCTTAGACCAGGTGCCTCTGTTTTATAATTACGAAACTAGGGATGTGGTTAGAACTATGAACTACCACAATCACAATGTCCAGAGGGCAACTAACTGCAGAAGTCCAAGTATGCATAATCCCACTGCACGTTCCGGGCACACCTCGGAGGTATTCTGAGCCGCGGAGACGCAGCGAGAACCTTCATCTTAATAAACTATCTCGCTCGCGACTCAGTCTCTATTAATTTACAGGGACTCCTGGGCCACAGCCAGGCAGGCGCACCTGGAAATCACTGGCAGGAAAAACGTTTTTTACGAAAGAAAAAAAAACAAAACCAGCAAAGACAAACTCGACTTCTCCAAAGCTTTTCCAACCTGGAGTGAGGAACAGGGGAACTCAGAATTACCAGGATGTGTGAAAGCCCAGTTTCACCCAGTGAAGACCTGGAACACGTACGGCAAGTTAACGCAAAGGCCTGGGGCTGCACCCGACGTGGTAGGGCTGCAAAGACCGCCCGGACGGGCCCTGCTCCAGCGGCCCACGGTCTCGCTGCTGAACAGGTCGGCGGCGCGGGGAGAGCAGCCCGCGTCCCGCCGTCGGGAGACGCCAGAGCGGCCGCTGCGGCCCGAAAAGGCCCGGGTCCCGGGCGACCGCAGGCGGCCCCCCCAGGAGTCCCGAGTCCGGGCTGGGGAGTCCGTGGGGCGGGCGCGTTACCTGGAGCAAGTGCAGCTGGGCCACTAGGCGCCGCGGCAAGTGAAGGAAGCAGTCGCGCGTGTTGGTGAAGGCCACGGTCACGGCCGCCCCGCCACCAGAACCCGCCAGCCGACCGCCGCCCCACATCCTCCGCAAGCGAGGACCCCCCGGAGGCCCACCCCAGCGGACGCGGGCTAAGTGCGGGCCGAGCGCGTCCGGGCCAGATACGCTCGGTCGGCCCCGCCCCCAGGTCCCGCCCCTCGCGCCCGCCGCGCCGCGGCAGCCGGAGCGGCAAGCCAGCCCACGCCGGCCCGGCGGCCTCTCCGCCGCGCCGCTGGAGGGCGGCAGTCGCTCGCCGACTGCTTGCTCACAGGAAACGATGTTGGCCATCGATGTTGGCCCTGTCGACCCGTCAGCCAGTCTCGGCGCGCCTTGACCCATCCCTCTCTCTTATTGGGTAATCCGGAGGGCAACAAGGCGGATGTTGTCGTCTCTGAGAGGGCCAAAGCCGCCAAGATGGCGTCAAGCGGAGGGCAAGTTGGCGGCGTATTCGACCACCACGTCCAAAGGGCTGTGTGCGACTCGAGAGCCAAGTATCGGGAGGGCCGACGGCCTCGCGCTGTGAAGGTAAAGTGATTTTGGTTTCATTCGTTGTCGTCGGTAGCTTTATGTGAGCTGTAGCTTCACAGGCCTAGTTAATGTAAATAAAGTCTTCAAAGGCTGCGGTCACATCCATTTGCTGGAGTGAGTGTGAGGAACGCTGGTACTCAGGTACCAGATACTCTCGCGGAGTATCAGTCAACGGTTGGAGCTCCGTGAAAACGGGGTATGTGTTTACAGTAGTGAATGTTTAACTCTTCCTGTAACACTTACCGAGGCAACTTCTGAAGACATATCGATTGGAGGTAGTCTATTATGTGCTTTAGCTCGAAGCTCTCACACGTAGGGTTAATTACTGTTTATGCAAAGAGAGGGGCAGATTTTTTAAAAAGTTTTCTGCAGACCTGACCAGAGTAGTTCTTGTTTTCAGCTTTTTTTTTTTTTTTTTAATAGTAACAGGTTTGTCTTAGGCTTGTTTGTGAAATACATTTAATGTGTCTGCATTTGTTTTAGGTATACACAATCAACTTGGAGTCTTGGTACTTATTAATACAAGGAGTTCCTGCAGTGGGAGCAATGAAGGAATTAGTTGAGCGATTTGCTCTATATGGTGCAATTGAACAGTACAATGCTCTAGACGAATACCCAGCAGAAGACTTTACAGAGGTTTATCTTATTAAATTTCTCAATTTACAGAGCGCAAGGTAATGTGCAAGTTAAGCAGTGTCTCATTTCCTCTGTCGCCATTGCTGTCATTTTGGCCTCCCGCATTCTTTCATGATTTACCCAGTAATTTAACATGGCTTTTTATTTTTCTGCACTATTCTTAATGTAGGTGTTAGCTTTATCAAGTCTGTCCATCAGGCCATCCCCATGCTCAACTATTTTTTGTCTTTGTAGTGTGGTAGATTAAAAAGTGGGTTTGGACTAAGTTTTCAGGTTTCACTGCTTACTAACATCATGACCTTGGACAAGTTATTTAATCCCATTAAACCTGTTTTATAAAATGTGTATGGTAAAAAAGGATCTACTTACTTAAGTTGTATGAGGATGAAATGAGCTAATCCATGTAAAGGGCTTAGCAAATGCCTCCTGTCCAGAATGCAGTAAACATTAGCTGTTAACATGTCTTGTTATGCATCTGTATGAATTGACCCCATCTTTCTTTTTCTTCTGTATAGCATAAATCCTCTGCTCTAGTAAGGGAAATAGAAATGCCTTACTCATATTCTTGTCATTAATACGCTTCAAGACCCATCCTTCCCTGGCTATTACAATTCATATTTTCTGTGCTATAAATAGTACTGGGGTATGTGGGCCATATATTGGTCTCCAGTTGCTCTTACGTATAATCTCACTGCCCTAACCAGCTTGCCAGCTATGGTTAGGGAAGCATATTTTCTCATTGTGCATTCATTCCACAAAGCCTTTGCATCTCCCACACCCCTTTTACAATAGGCCAATGTGACATGTGGATTTGAATCCTGGCTCCACAAACCAAGATGAGCTTGTACAAATGATCTCCCCATGCCTCAGAGTCATCATAGGGATATTGAGAAGTGTGATTTCAAGTGAAGCATTTAAGCATTTAGGCCACTGCCTGGCATGTGATAAAATCTCAGTGAATATTTCTTACCATTTTCCCTGGACACAGAAGTACTTAATTTTGTAGTAATTCCTGGCCAGCCATAGATGTATAGTAAGTATACATTAAATGAATACTATCCTCTCCTTTTCTCATTTACTGTTACACATTTGTGTTTTCTCCATTATTAAATGTTTATAATTGTAATATTTTTTATTAATTTCTTATCTTTGAACCCTATTATAGGAACACATTGTGCTAAAAAGGCTAAGCTGGGCATGAGCTAATTCTCAAGGGTCTTTTAACACAGAATCTCTATTTCGTGACCACAGATTGTGTACCTCAGGCCAACCAGCTGAATCCTATGTTGGTTAAAGGGAGTCTGGATATGTTTGGAAAACTTAGCTTAAAACCTGTGAAGACTCTTGGGAGAGGGGAAGAAAGGCTCCGAAAGAATATGCAGTGGATCAGTAGGGTCAATACCATTCCCGTGCAGAGCATCTTAACCGCCAAGCTATAGGATTTATGTACACAACAATATCTGGACTTTTGCTTTTTAGATCAGTGCATTGTATACTAGTTAAGCTTTCATCCTAAGTAAATCTAGATTAGTAAGCCACGATATCATGCATTTCTGTTTAGGATAGCCAAGAAAAAAATGGATGAACAGAGTTTCTTTGGCGGGTTGCTTCATGTGTGCTATGCTCCAGAATTTGAAACAGTTGAAGAAACCAGAAAAAAATTACAAGAGAGGAATGCTTATGTAGCAAGAATGACTAAAAATAAAGGTATGTAAAGCTTACTACTAAACACCTCCTATGTGTCAGGCATTTTGCTGAGTTTATCCTCCTGGAGTTTTCCCAGTCTAGTGATTATAAGCTGTGAAGATTTTTCTTTACAGAATGCTATGTAATCTGGGCTGGGAAGGTATAGATGTTATCTCATGGAAGATTTCTACAGGATGAGAAAGGCGCCTGAGTTCTGAAGGGTATGTAGACATTACCCAGAAAGGGAGAGGAACAGATGGAAAGATGGGCCAGAAGAATAAATGAGCGTCATGCATTTTAAGGAACTGTGAGTAATATAACCACAACACAGCAGCTTACGTGTGAATCTGAGATTAGAAAAGGGGACAGTAAGTGAATCCTGAAAGGCCTGTGTCCATGCTGAGGAATTAAGGCTTTGACCAAAAGGCAGTGAGAAACAACTTCTGATGTGCAGACCAGTGTGAACTGCTAATCTAAAACTGGAAAAATTCCACCTTTGATTAACACCAGCTGGCCAGATGCCCCATGTTTCTAATCAGTTGCCCTGGACACAAATTCCCAGGGCACTGAGTGGAGTCCTAGGATCTATTTCATGGATCGTAGAATGAGAGGGGTCAGCACTGGGCTGTGATAGTGTGTGTGGTCTGAAATCTGAATAGTTCTAGAGGCTCAAATTACCAGATTTTCACCCTATGGTTAAAAAGACAAAGACATTGTCTAAAAAGCTATTGAATATGATGAGTTTCTGACTGACTGGGTAAGGGGCACCTGGCAGTGTGAAGAGAGAAGTGGAAAACTCCCCTGAAACTTTGGCAAGAGCTGTTGGGAGTCTTTGGTCATGCGGAGGCACTGAGCTATAATCTGTGTATGTGTAAATAACTGGCTCCAGGAAAACGTGTATGTGTGGCAAAAGAAATGATAAAATATGGACCCAGCATATTGTTTCCTTTAACAACTACAAACACAAACTAAGCATAACAGTAAAAATACTTTGAATATATAGAAAATTTTCTGTGTAATGACATGGAAAAACTCCGCAAGATTTCGAGTTAACTGGAAGGCAGAGAGATGCAGAGAAGTGGGTATTATAGGAGAACAAGAGGGCTAAGTGGGAGGGAGAAGACTGGACAGATAACCTTGTTAGCTTTTGAACCATGTAAATACAGTACTTGTTCAAGAATAAATTTTTTAGGGTAGCATTTATTAACATCTTAAAGTAATGTTTCTTTTTAAAATTACATGTTTCTACATGATGAAAACAGTAAATGAACCGTTTCTGTTTCCCTTTCCCTGCCTTTTAAATTGTAACATACAGATCATTACGTGACAAAGAAGCATAAAGATGCAAAAGATTTTAGAGGGGACTTCCATTCAAAGACATCTAGATTTCCTGCAGCCTCTCTGAAGACTTCTACTGGGAACTCAGATCTTTGTCTTCCTTATTCTTCTGAGTTGCCTTTGTGTTATTTCTCCCCCAAGTGTACATGTTCATCAGGAGAACATGTAGACAGACCATCAGACTCCTCTCAGGATGGTAGAAACTCTGATGAAACCCTGGGGCATTGTGACCACTGTGACTCTCTGCAGAAGATGCAAATGAAAACTTCACAAAATTCCTTGGCCCGCCGTGGTGTACAGAAGGCTCTTACTCCTTCAGAGGCAGTTGACCGGTTTATGCCTAGGACAACACAACTGCAGGAGCGGAAGAGAAGAAGAGAAGATGACTGTAAACGTGAAACTCTTCTTGAAGCGTGCACAAGTGGTAACGAGGTTATGATCGGCCCTCAGTTACCAGTCATTCCTAAAGTGGACATGCATGATGACTCCTTGAATACAACAGCAAATTTAATTAGGAATAAACTTAAAGAGGTAAGATCGTTTAAAAAAGAAACTTTTAAGAGACAGTTTGGTTATAAGGACTAACAGCTAAGTGGAGAATTATTTGTAGGAACTTCAGTATTGTCATTCTTTTTTTTCCATTTTTAATTTTTAGATGTGTTTTCCTATGATTCTATGTTGAAGTAACTGAATTTGACTTATAGATATGTATTTGTTTTGATACCTTTAATCCTTTCTTTAAATATATTTTATGTTACTCTCGGTAGAAAATATAAGAGCAGTAGTTTCAGTCGGATCAGTCTATGAGAATGGATCCCAGGCCCTCCCTTTTTAAACAAAACTATCCCTCTCCAGACAGGTCTAATGTGAGCCAACCTGGAGAACTACTGCATTGACGGGAAATTATTATTATTTATTTCTCAAGTTCATAATTACAAATAAATTTAAATACTTATTTTGCTTCTTTGATAATCATAGAAGAAGGTGAGGTTTTTAAAGATTAGGCCTGCAGGTCTTCATTTTAATTTTAAATTTCTTAAGTAGACTAGACCTATTGATAGATTGTCCTTCTTAGGTAGTAGTTTTTTAATGTTATTTACATTATCATTTTCCATTTTCTAAGCACAAATAAAACTTAACATTTGAGATAGCTTTTGAAAGACACCTTACTATGGGGCAAGTCTTTAGAAATCATAATCTGAAGGAGAGAGACCATTCTCTTGTACTTGAACTCAGGTTCAGAAGGTGCTTTTCACATAGTGGTACATATATTTCACAAATGTGATTAAGAAAGGCTAAGGTAGATTGAATTATTTTATAATAATAAAAATTGAGGGACACAGTTTTTATGCTTAAACTTCTGTAACATTGTTTTTGCTTGTGCTGGCACCCAGCCTTCAGGTGCAAATAGACTGAGACACAGATACACGTACATAGTTACCTTAGCCATAGCTGACTGTATTTTCAAGGAAAAAGTTAGGTCCAAATCCTAGATATAGAAATCGTAGAAGGAGAAATACTAAATACAGTTATGTCAGATTCTAGTAATTTTCCATTTTAAGTGAAGACTGTTGTATGTGCTTTAACTTATATTGTCTACTTTGATGTATTTGGTTTCATTTTTCCCTAAGAAATTGAGGATTCTAGCATTTTTACTTATTTCTCTACATTTTTCTTCTACCATCCCAGCTGGAGCCTCCTCGTCTCTGAATGTATCAGACATTATCCCTGTTTCAAGTTATACAGAACCAGGGTATCTCTCTGTGTTCATAAAATTACAAGTGATTTCATAAAATAACAGATCTATAAAGGAATGTTAAAGTAGAGTATACATTTGCTTTTCTTCCCTCAAAATTTTTTCTTGTTTAGATGGCTTTAAAAATTTTACTCCCATCAGTATTTGGACAGAAAACTTTGCTCTGTGCCTAGATTGTAGGCTGCACCTGAACCTGAGCTGAAAACTGTTGGTGGTTCTCTTTTTAAAACTAGGTAATTTCATCTGTGCCAAAGCCTCCAGAGGACAAAATGGAAGATGTGCCTAGAAGTCGTCCTTTAAAACAAAGAAGGAGGATATAAACTACCTGCCATAAAGGAACATTTTTAAAGGACTCTTTTTTATTTTTAGGCTGTCATTTGAATTCTTGAAGAAATTTTACTGCTGGTATTTTTTTTTTAAATGCACTCTCTTCTTTGTAGTTTCATTCAAGCTACTTGTCTAATTTAGTTTCCTCTTTTAAAATTAGTTTACATGAACAAAGAACATGCCAGCCAATTATGTCCCTTAAAAAAAAATAAAACTTCCAGAACCTGCACTCAGTGACTCTGGTTGCGTCTTATTGGCTGGAGTTGGGCCGTGGCCGTTCCTGACACAAGAGTCTAGAGTGTCAGATGTTTAGGTGTTCTGTTTTGTGAGGAAGCAAGAGAAAAGAGGATTGTGAATGGCTGATTCACAACATTTGCCCCAAGATCTAAGGTTGTTGGCCTAACTTAACAAATTAATTAGTTTATCATTACTTCTTGTATCAATTGATGTTATTTTGATCCATACTTAATATTATAGAAACCATTCATTACAACATCATTTCTCATGTTGCAGTCACTATATGTAAACCAATTGAAGCAAATATAGGTACTTTACAATATAAAGATAGGCGACCAGGATCTGTTTCTGATTTTAATAATTTTGGGTGAGTAACATTCAAAAACTAGAAGTCAGGATATGTTGGAATGCCAGGGCTTCAAAATCAAGACAACTCTGTAAAGCAAAAAAGTTAATAAACTGTTAGAACAAAGCTGAAATGAGAAGCATATATGCTTTAGTTAACTTCAAAGATAATTTACTTCATCTGTGGCAGAAACAAATCAGTATTTGTAAATGGTAGACTTTCACCACTACTTCCCACATTTTTTTCCTGTCAGTGGGCCACATAATTGGATGTCCAAGTATGTCCAGGCTCTTTCCCTTTTTTCTTTTTTTGCTGATAACAGTAACCTGAGGAGGCCCATACCAGATGGTGTCTCTTTTTCTTTTCTCCCTATCCTAAGGGTCTCTTGCCTAATGGATTGATTTTGAATATAAAGGTTAGAAACTTTTACCTTCATTTATGACGTTATGCGAGCTTGCTAGGATGGCACTGCATTGTGGATGATATTAAAAGAAGCTGCAGGCAAGGGGACTAGCCCCACTTCCTTGTGAGATAATCAGATATACAGGTGACCCTTGAACAATGTGGGGTTAGGGTTGCTGACCCTCCACGCAAAAATCCACATGTAACTTTACAGTCTGCCTTCCATATCTGCTGTTTTGTATCCTCAGATTCAACCGACCATGGATCATATAGTATGTATTTATTAATAGAAAAAAATTCCACATATTAGTGACCCTCCCAGTTCACACCTGTATTGTTCAAGGGTCAGCTGTACTTTCTGTGGAACTCTTAGTCAAAAAATACATTAGTGACTTCAGCATAGAATTAGAGCAAGTTGCTGTCTAGATCAGGCTTTTCAGACTTTCAGGGGTTTTGAGTCTCTGGGGTCTTATGACAATGCAGATTCGGATGGTGGTGGCAGGGGCTGGTGGGTGATGGGAATGGGAAGTTGTTTAATGGGTATAGAGTTTCAGTTTGGTGAGATGAGCAGAGTTCTGGAGATGGGTTGCAAAATAGCATGAATGTACTTATCGCTATTGAACTGTAGGCTTAAAATTGGCTAAGAAGAAAAATGCTATGACAGGTGCATTTTGTGTCAATTGAAGATGCTCTCTGACAGTCCTGGCGGGAGGAGCTGCTGTGTGGGCTCCGCGCCCCTGACCTTTTCTGTGACTGGAGGCCAGCACTGCTCCCCGCCCCCGGCCACATACACAGGATGGACCATGATAAGAGAGGGAAAATGAAACGAACCTGTGTCACACACTAAGAAAAGACAAGATTCTGACTGAGCGGGTTTGAGGAGGCGTCTGAGAGTGCAGTTCTCACAAGCTTCTAGGGGATACCAGTGGTGCATAGATCATACGCAGCAGCAAGACTCTAGATCACTGGGCTACGGGTGGACTCTAGGGGGGCTGCTGAAGAACCCCGGTGGTTCCATCTGAACCTAAGTACTGACTCTAGCCTGTTGTTCTATACCGTTTAACCCATCAGTCCTCTTAAAAAGAGAAGTTTGCCTTTTACACATTGATTTTTAATACAGGTTTCCAGACAGTTAAAATGTGTGGATAAACTACAGCAGGACAAGCTGAGATGACTTAAGGATAGCTTGAAAGTGAAAGTGTTAGTTGCTCAGCCATGTCTGACTTTGCGATGCCATGGATTGTAGCCTGCGAAGCCGCTCTGTCCAGGATTTCTCCAGGCAAACATACCAGAGTAGGTTGCCATTCCCTTCTCTAGGGGATCTTCCCAACCCAGGGTCTCCTGCATTGCAGGCAGATTCCTGACCGTCTCAGCCACCAGGGAAGCCCAGGGATAGCTTAACATGTAGGTGGATGAGCCTGCACGAGGAGAGCTTGAAGTGGAAAAGTGACAGTGAAGGTCACTTAGTGCCTGACTCTTTCTGACCCCATGGACTGTACAGTCCATGGGATTCTCCAGGCCAGAATACTGGAGTGGGTAGCCTTTCCCTTCTCCAGGGGCTCTTCCCAACCCAGGGTTCAAACTGGGGTCTCCTTCATTGCAGGTGGATTCTTTACCAACTGAGCTATGAAGGATAGCTTAACATTATACAAATTCATCCACAAAATCACTCATCTAAATTACTGCAGAGAATAGAAAGTTTCTTCCTATATCACATGTTTGCAAAGCACAGTTGCTCAAACAAAGAATTAAGAAAGGAAATAGTGAAGTCAATTATCAGGCTGGCTCTTCTGGCTCAGAAAACCTTTGTCAAATTCAATACTTTTTGAGGACAAATAAAATACCATAAAGTACTACTATGCATGTGTCCAAAATTTTTGAAAGTGTATTCTCATTGACAACAAATGAGAAAGAGATCAAGTTTTCTCCTAGCAGTTTATGGTAGGTTCTTGCTGAATCCACTCTGTATTTGCTGTTCTATCTCAAGCAAGCCAATATACTTTGAGTTTGGAGGGAGAAAATATTAACATCCAGAATATTAGGAATGGTGTATGGTCAAGGTGGTTAAAAGCTGAAAAAAAGTCTTGAGTATAATTCCTTGGTCACTACCGTCTTGGGTCCCAAATGCTAAGATGGGGCAGAGACCTTGATTGCTGAACTTCAGCAGTAGGTTGGAACCCTACAGAGGTAAGTGTCTGGCAAGTATTTCTTTTCAGGTCCTTTGGAATTTCCCCCCAAACCAATTCATTGCTGCCACGGTACCTTTGCCTCCGGTAAACATGGTCCAAACACTTCCAACAAAAGTCTGTCTTCTTTCACTGCTTTTTCAAAATCTGCAAAAGATATCTTGCCATCGTTGTCATAATCCTAGAGAGGAAGATGATTTGGTAAATGACAAGAGTAGTTAATTTTAATTCTGCATGGAAAATAACTGTAGAAAAAAAGGTTTTACCAAATCAAACTCATGTTCACACTTCTGTAGGCACTACTTGCACACATCAAAAGATGCTTATTTACTTTGTTCCTTTTAATCTAATACCTGATATTATGAATAGAATGTCTGTCTCTCCACACCTCCCAAATTAAAGCTCTGACCATGGCAGTGGGATGGTATTGGAAGGTGGGGGTCTTCGGGAGGTAACTTAGGTTCAGATGAGGTCATGAAGGTAGGGCCCAACGTGCTGTTAGTATCCTGTGAGTAGGAGAGGCCAAAGCGCCCTGTCTCTGCCGTGTGAGGGCTCGGGAGGTGGCTGTCAGCAAGGCAAGAGGAGAGCGCTCAGCCAGGAAGTGAACCTGCTGGCACGTTCATCCTGGACTTCTCAGATTCCCCGAATTGTGAGAATGAATTCCAGCTGTTCAGTCTACCCGGAGGATGATACTTGGTCACAGCAGCCCAAGCGTCACCTTAGACACATAAAACCCTGTCCCTAGGGGCTTCCCTGGTGGGCCGGAAGCTGACATCCCACACACCACAAGTAAGACTTGCTGCAGCCAAGTAAGTCAGTAATAATAATTAAAATCCTTAAAGGACTTCTACCCGAGTTGGGGAAGTAAAACAGAAAATTAGAGGAAGCCCATTGTAATACAGCTACTTTTCTGATAAAAATAGTGCCAAAGATTCTTAAGCTTAATTTTAGTCTTGTTTCACAAAGCATCTCTTAAACTTGAGAGAAGGATATCACCTGAAATGTATAAAAGTGAAGTTGCTTAATAAGGAGCAGGCACTGAGAAAGCAAGAAGGACTGGGATCATGAGAAGAAGCTAGCAGACTCCTGCTAGGCCCTTAAGGATGGCTGGGGTACAGACAGGTGGAGGGGTGTCGGGAAGAAAAGCGGGAGGATGGCTCAGCGTGGATTATGACAGTAAGCCGGAATGCAAGTCAGGAAGCAGACAGACCAGGCTGGAATGCAGTGTTCATGAGAGGGACTGTGGGAAATTAACTAAACCATGTGTGTAGATTAGGAATAGTTTTAACTGCTTAATTCAATTTGGATTTGACTTGACGGGTCCTTATTTTTTCACTTCTGGGCATAACTAAATCAAGGTTGCTGGGGGGTCTAATTTAAAGAAAGGTTTGAATAATTTTCAGAAAAAGAGTCACTCCATGACATTTTATTTCCAAAAGAAGGGGATAGAGGACTTCCCTTGTGGTCCAGTGGTTAACACCCCATGCTCCCAATGCAGGGAGCCCAGCCAGGTTCAGTCACCCTTCAGGGAACCAGATCCTGCACGCTGCAACTAAAGATCCCATATGCTGCAACTGAGTCCCAGTGCAGCCAAGTAAGTAAATTAAAAAAAAAAAAGTATTTAAAAAAAAGAAGGGGTGGGAGGGGAGTTCAGGATGGGGAACACATGTAAATCCATGGCTGATTCATCTCAATGTATGGCAAAAACCACTACAATATTTAAAGTAATTAGCCTCCAACTAATAAAAATAAACAAAAAAAAAATAGCAACTTTGAAAAAAAATTAAAATTTAGGATGAAAAAAAAAAGAAGGGGGAGTGGGTGTGGGTGTGGTACTGGGAAGGATACTATCTCTCAAGAAGTCTGCCCTCCCCGCTCACAGTGGCTGCTGGGCATGTCTAATGGAAAAGGACACCCTGTGGTCTGTTAGCTGAATCTGAGACCCTGAGACTCAGAAGACCCCCTCATCAGTTACTTCCTGAACTCCAAAGAGGTAGTGAGCTGGACCTTGGCGGCCTCAGAGTCTTAAACCATTGGTATCCAGTCTAGGATCACAGGGAAAAAAAGAAATCACTATGGCCATAATAAGGAGGTGTTACTGGTTTCACTGAAAGATAAATTTTGCACCTCATTTTCCATCATGGCCTTGTATAAACCTATCTGCACTTCAGTTTTCTCATCTGCAAAATAGAGATAATATTTTCTACTTCATCTCATTGTTTTGAAGATAAAACATGTTTACATATTAAACTTTTGTGAAGGGCCCAGCATGTAGTAAGCACTTTATAAGGGTTATTTCATTATAATGAGTGTCAAGATGGATGAGAAAGCAAAGGTCATGAAGACAGACTACAATGGCATTCAATTTTAAAAGAACTAAATCTATCACCCTCCTTCCCAGATAATGAGAGTTAACTGATAGTACAATAATAAATAAAATTAACATTCATTTAATGTAGTGATTCATTTAATCACCCAGCCAACCCATAAATATTTATGAAGGAACCACTGTCAGCGAGGCACTATTTTAGGCAATGGATAGGGCAGAGAACAAATAAGAATTCCTGCCCTCACAAAGGTTACATTCACTATGTAGGAAAATAAATCATTTATTTAGCTTTAGCTTTCTCACATCCTCTGGACTGGATATAATGAATTACAGCTTTTTTATTCTTACCATTTTCTTCAGTGCTATATCTACCAACTCTCTTATTTCTTCATCAGTCTCTTCTCCAGGTGACTGTTGGTGTAGACTGTTCTTCAACATGTCATATATTCTCTCTCGAGAAATGTAACCATCACCATTGAAATAATAAACTTCGAAACAAACTTTTCAAAGCATAAGAAGTTTATAGACATGGATAAAAATAATTAAAATGTCACTAAGCTTCTCGGTTATTTCAGTATGTAATTAAAGAAGGATAAAAACAGTTCAGACAATCTACAGTCTAGACTCAATGAATGAATTTGAGCAAATCCTGGGAGACAGTGGAGGACAGAGGAGCCTGGCGTGCTGCAGTCCACGGGGTCACAAAGAGCCAGACATGACTTAGCGACTGAACAACATTCTACACAGTAGAGAATTTTATAAATCTTTCCACAAGACTAAATATCCTTTGTGATACACACACACACACACACACACACACACACACACACACGTGTGTGTAAAGTCTTTCTTTTCATATATACACATATAAATATGTATGTGTATCTTACTGCTGTAATTTCCTTCTTACACAGAGCAAAAAATCTAGTGTACACACATCATTACATCACTGGCAAAAAAATTGTTCTATATATTTGGGTAGTGGGAAGTGAGTCTGTCAATGCCTTGGAGACTGCCCATTTCACTGTCCAAAATGATCCATCTCTCCCTGGAGAATGATTACATGGTTTCCACTGCACCATGTAAGCACTACTACAGTTTATCCTTCATCCCACAAATGACCTTATTCAGGTCCTGGTAGCTCTTGAGTTAGTAATCTAGTTAAATGTTTTTGGAAAGAAAGGAAGGGAGGGGGGAGGGGGAGAGAGACAGAGACAAGGAAAGAAAGAAGAGCAAGATAGGAAGAAAAGAAGGGAGGGAGTGAGGAAGAAAAAGAACCAGGTATTAAACTCCAGAGTGTCAGATTAGCTCTTTTGTTGCATTTTTCTAGTATATAGCATACATAAGCTTGTGACATAGCCCTACTAGAAACAGTATTTTCCCCAAATTAACATGTATTGAAATGTATAATACATGAAGTATTTTTAGGCAGTGGGATTGGAAAAGGAAAAAAATTCTGATACTGCGATGCTATTCATTATGTCCTGGCTTCCCTTCTGGCTCAGTGGTAAAGAATCCACCTGCCAATGTAGGGGACATGGGTTTGATCCCTGGGTTGGGAGGATCCCTGGAGAAGAAAATGGCAACCCACTCCAGTGTTCTTGCCTGGAAAATCCCATGGTCAGAAAGCCTAACAGGCAACAGTCCATGGGGTGGCAAATGAGTTGGACACGACTTAAAGACTAAACAACAGCAATTCGTCATGTCCAGTGTTGTTATACAGAAGTCTCACAAGAGTTTACATTCATGAAACTTCACTTTTCATTTCTCAGTGAGACTTCTGTATAACAACACTGAAATTATAAGGAACAAGTGACTACTGTACTTAATGGTGTCCTGTGAAAATTAGACTGGAGAAAAGTGGGGGGAGAAACATGTTGTAAGAAAAAAAAGGAAGAATACAATGTTGTATGTCAAATTATACTTTAATTTTTTAAGTATTAAAAAAAGGAAAAAAAAATCTCCTCCAAATAAAAGAGAGAAACAAAAGCCATAAATGTCAAATATGGTTGGTGAGTCTTTAAAATGTTACTATCATTTTTATTTTTATTTTTTTAGTTCTACCACTTTATTGCTACCAACCCGTCTGCCTCCATCCTTGCGCACACATGCTCAGTCATGTAACCCCATGGACTGCAGCCCACCAGACTCCTCTGTCCATGGACTTTTCTAGGTAAGAATACTGGAGTGGGTTGCCATTTCCTTCTCCATTACTATCATTTTTAAAACATGTATTTAACTTAGAGGCATTCTTTTGAACATCCCAAATCCAGAATCAACTGGCAGAAGGGATAAAAATTTGCTTACATACTAAGAACTCTGCAGTTTTTCCTATGTAATTTGACATTTGTTCCCTTGAACACTGTTGTTTAAAATTGTTCCTATTCTCTTTCTAGGTTTCACACCCCAAATCATGGCACAGGAGGTGTAAAACATAGAAAACATGCATCACATCAGTGGTACAGGTGAGGTGAGCCAGAGCTATCTCTACAAAATTGTGAACTGGGAGATTTTTGTCTTTGGAATTCCTAATGATGCTCTTCTGTAGGAAGCTCCCTTTATAATACTTCCTTCCTTTGGGATTTCATTGCCTTAGTCTCATTCCCTCTCTTTATTCACCTACACTTATTCTCACACTAGAGTGTTGATGCCTGACAGCTGTGTGCTTCACCTTGTTTTGTGTTAACCCCTCATCCCTACTCTGACGGAAAGACAAGCAATAATCCCACTGTGAACTACGTGGCCGCCCATATTCAAGGCCCATTTCCTGCTGAACCCAGACACAGCCCCAGAGATCTCAGCCTTGCCTATCATCATAGTCGGCACCTGTCCTGACCTGTAGCTGCGCTTCTTTGCCCAGGCCTTGAGCCAAAAAGCCATCCTGGTGGTATTTGTATGCTACAGAACTAGTGAAGTAAGTGTCTTGGGGACTAGGGACTCTCCTATAAAAGAGGTCACCCATTTCATCTGCCTTTTTAAAAAAACTCTCATGAACTACTTTTGCAAGAGTGCTATAGAGAATAACACTGAGTTTATATTTTTAAGAAAATGATTTAAGGATTAAATGTAAAATTGATACTATATATGTTAATATTTATATAGAAATCTTACACTTCAGCTTTTCTTCAAAAGTCCCTCGAAGAAACACTGATAGTCCTTTAACCCACTCTTTCACATTTATGTAGTTATCATCGTCTTTGTCAAATGCAAAAAATACTGAAAGAAAAAGAGTGTGTTAGTGTATTCTAATTTATAGCTATTATTCAAGAGTACTATGAATAGAGAAAAAAAAAAGTATTTCCTCCCCAAAAGGGGGAGACAGAAGGTTTTGGTACAGTCTTTCTTGAAAGAATCAAAAATAACTGCAAGTATATTTCCAACAGATTTTTACAGAAAGAAGCCATTCTCCTCCCCATGGTTAATGATGAGTGTCACTTGTGATGTTTTGTATGGCTATTTTAAGGAAAAAAGACCAACAATGTAGATAATCAATGTGATAATTTTTACCACTCTAAAAACAGTGGTAAAATCTTGTCCTAAAGAATTTGTGTTATGCCTAAAGATCAATTAGTAAAATAACACATTATTTTTAAAATTACCAATGAAATCTTGGTATTATCCTATAGAAAACAAAACATTATTGTCTCTTTTGGGGTTAATGGAAACATTAATTATTTTGACTATGGACTTCCCAGGTGGCTCAGTGGTAAAGAACCCACCTGCCAAGCAGTAGATGCAAAAGATGAGGGTTCAGTCCCTGGGTCGGGAAGATCCCCTGGAGAAGGAAATGGCAACCCACTCCAGTATTCTTGCCTGGAAAATTTCATGGATGGAGGAGCCTGGCGGGCTACAGTCCACGGGGGTTGCAAACAGTCAGACAGGACTGAGCACCACTGCATGACATGATACGGTCTCATGGTGTATACACACATTAAGACATCAAATTGAACACTGAAAGTTTGTTATTGAAACTGACTGGATCACGTTATATAATTTCCTATTTTAAATATAAAATTATTTAATTTTTTTCAATATAATGAATAATTTTCTTTTTGTGTTTGTTGAAGTCAACATGTCTTTACATGTTTTACATGTCTACAGCATATGAACCCAAAGACAACAGAAACCACAAACTTATCTTTATTTTTTTTATTTTTTACAAACTTATATTTAAAAAAAAATACTGCTAGCTTATTTAGTTCCTTACTGGTTCTTTCTCAAAGTACTACAGCTATGAGACAAGAACTTGAGTGAATTTATAATAAAATCCATCCTGACGATCAAATCAGATTTGCTGTTCCACGTCATAGCACTACCAGAATTATATGTATAGTTTTTGCTTTGAAAATTTCAGTCTTTGGTGAAAACTGAATATATGTGTATGTACATATGTATGTGTGTATACACACACACGCGCGCGCGCATCTGCCACCTCAGCTTGGCCCATCTCAATCTCCATGACTCCTTACCCCTATTCATTAGCACATCATCAGTCATTCCAAATACGCTGTGCAGGATCACTCGAAATGTGTTACGATCTAGTCCAACGTTAGCAAGTTTTATGTCACCTCTTCCCACCAAGTTGTGAAAAATTCTTATGAGACACTCTATTTCACTCTTTTTGACTGTGAAATGAAAATACAAATAAATACAACTTAGATTTAACCTCTGAGTTCTCCAAACCAATTAAATGTATTTTACTAATTAGCTATTTTGTTTCTGTGATGGACTAGTGGTTTAAAAACTGTGACATGGACTTGTTACTTAAGAGCTCACACAATCAAGACAGATGCCACTCAGATGTCTCATTAAGACAGTATATAAATGTTAAATTATGTCATATAACACTCACCACTATAGACATGTGAAGAGAAATCTGTATGAGAAAGAGTTGTGCTATTTTCATGAGCGTAGACTTTGAACTGGGCCTTGAAGGATGCAGAGCATTTATCCAGAAAGGAATGTATTCAAGGTGGTAAAGAAGTGGCGAATTCCAGTAAGAGGGAATAACATGAGTAAAGGAAAGAATTGAGATTGAGGTTGAATATGTTTTGTTGGGAGCATAGCAAGTTGGGAAGAAGTGAAAAACAAGACTGAAGAGGACAGGCTGTTGAAATAGAGCCTTGAATGCCTGGTCAGAAGATTAACGTTTGTTTTACTGGAGCAGGGTTTCTTGTGGTATCATCTTTGGACACTCTGTATGAAAATCATCCACCTCTCATTGCTTGTCAAAGGCCTTGCCCCAGACCTACTAAGTCACAGTTGCTAACAGTGGGTCCAGGAGCTACCTTTGAAACAAAGCTCAGCTAGTTCTTCTATGCTCTAAGGGTTGAGAAGTGGTTTAATAAAACCCATCTGGCAAAGTTGTACTGAAGGGGAAAACTGGAAGCCTAGAAGCCTGGCTTGGAGCAATAAGCTTTGGTTAGGACCACAGAAATGAGATCAGAAAGCAGGCAGGGAGCCTGAGATGCTGTTTAAAAAGCACACAGGTGACTCTAATGCACTGTCCGAACTGAGAACTAAGTGATTAGGCTTTGTGGGTTGGGGGTACTAGACTTAAGTCTGGGTTCCACTTCCATTTCGTATGACTTAACACAATTCAACTTCTTTATGCCTCAGAGTCCTCACCTATACAATTTGAGTACTATTCTAGATGATCTCTGATATTCCCTCAGTTTCTAAAAGTCTGATTCTATGAATTAAAGAAATTTGAGAAAACTTTCAAGAAAATTAGAGATACCAAGGGAATATTTCATGCAAAGATGGGCTCAATAAAGGACAGAAATAGTAGGGACCTAACAGAAGCAGAAGATATTAAGAAGAGGTAGCAAGAATATACAGAAGAACTGTACAAAAAAGATCTTCATGACCCAGATAATCACAATGGTGTGATCACTCACCTAGAGCCAGACAACCTGGAATGTGAAGTCAAGTGGGCCTTAGAAAGCATCACTACAAACAAAGCTAGTGGAGGTGATGGAATTCCAGTTGATCTATTTCAAATCCTGAAAGATGATGCTGTGAAAGTGCTGCCCTCAATATGTCAGCAAATCTGGAAAACTCAGCAGTGGCCACAGGACTGGAAAAGGTCAATTTTCATTCCAGTCCCAAAGAAAGGCAATGCCAAAGAATGCTCAAACTACCACACAATTGCACTCATCTCACATGCTAGTAAAGTAATGCTTAAAATTCTCCAAGCCAGGCTTCAGCAATTCATGAACTGTGAACTTCCAGATGTTCAAGCTGGTTTTAGAAAAGGCAGAGGAACCAGAGACCAAATTGCCAACATCTGCTGGCTCATCAAAAAAGCAAGAGAGTTCCAGAAAAACATCTATTTCTGCTTTATTGACTACACCAAAGCCTTCGACTGTGTGGATCACAATAAACTGTGGAAAATTCTGAAAGAGATGGGAATACCAGACCACCTGACCTACCTCTTGAGAAACCTGTATGCAGGTCAGGAAGCAACAGTTAGAACTGGACATGGAACAACAGACTGGTTCCAAATAGGAAAAGGAGTATGTCAAGGCTGTATGTTGTCACCCTGCACTTCAGAGTACATCATGAGAAACGCTGAGCTGAAGGAAGCACAAGCTGGAATCAAGATTGCCAGGAGAAATATCAATAACCTCAGATATTCAGATGACACCACCTTATGGCAGAAAGTGAAGAAGGGCCTCTTAATGAAAGTGAAAGAGGAGAGTGAAAAAGTTGGCTTAAAGCTCGACATTCAGAAAACTAAGATCATGGCATCTGGTCCCATCACTTCATGGGAAATAGATGGGGAAACAGTGGAAACAGTGGCTGATTTTATTTTTCTGGGCTCCAAAATCACTGCAGATGGTGATTGCAGCCATGAAATTAAAAGATGCTTACTCCTTGGAAGGAAAGTTATGACCAACCTAGACAGCATATTAAAAAGCAGAGACATTACTTTGCCAACAAAGGTTCATCTAGTCAAGGCTATGGTTTTTCCAGTGGTCATGTATGGATGTGAGATTTGACCTATAAAGAAAGTTGAGGACAGAAGAATTGATGATTTTGAACTGTGGTGTTGGAGAAGACTCTAGAGAGTCCCTTGGACTGCAAAGAGATCCAACCAGTCCATCCTAAAGGAGATCAGTCCTGGGTGTTCATTGGAAGGACTGATGTTGAAGATGAAACTCCAGCACTTTGGCCACCTCATGCAAAGAGCTGACTCATTTGAAAAGACCCTGATGCGGGAGGGATTGGGGGCAGGAGGAGAAGGGGACGACAGAGGATGAGATGGCTGGATGACATCACTGACTGGATGGACATGGGTTTGGGTAAGCTCTGGGAGTTGGTGATGGACAGGGAGGCCTGGCGTGCTGCGGTTCATGGGGTCACAAAGTCGGACATGACTGAGCGACTGAACTGAAGAGTTAGGAGGGAAGCTGTTTACTAGTTCTATTTCTCTCTTCCTTCTCCTCCCCTCCCTCTTTTGGGGAGGGTGGAAGGAGAAATATTTTTTTTAGATTTTGTCTTTGAGGTGATTTCAAGTTACCCAACGAAAACCAATGAGAACTGACAGCAAACATGCAGGTTACATTAGGGTTTCTAACATGGTCAGAATGACTTGACTCTTAGGGTAAAGGTTGATTAATCTATAGAATAAACAATTACAAAGATACCTAACATTATTTATGAACTCAACTAGATTCTCAGGCTTCATACATAGCCCCAAAATTTGATATAAAGGTCATTTTTATCCATCTAATAAGCATTTATTAAGGGCCTCCCATGAACCTAGGCAATGAATACACCATCATTTCTGCCCTTAATTTATTACACTTTGGTCAAGAGAAAAAGAAATGAAATAAAACTGTTACAAACACTGTGATTAAAGTGTTTGGCAGTGACCCAAGGAAAGGAATCATTAAGTGCGGAAAGGCAGCAAGAAGGGGCTCCAGGAAGAGGTGTCCCTTGAGCTAAAGCCAATCACAGGAGTAAGTATTTATTAGAGGAGGCAGTTTGAAGGCAGGGTGGCATATTCTCAGAGCCACAGATGGTTTGGTGCAGCTAGGTGGCAGAACTGTTTGACTTTACAGAGGGGCTTATTGAAAAATTTTGGCTGGCAAGTTAACAGAATCAGATTTGCATTTAAGGAGGCTCACTTTGGCAGTGGATTCTTTAAACTGCCTTATGAATGGTCAATCTAGAGGTGACAGGTTATATTTTCCCAGATAATTTTAAATCCTGTCCCACTCATATGCTCTTCTTAGAATGAGACTTCTGATACTTCTCCCTTACAAAGATGGGGTTTGTGTCTCCTTCACTTAAAACTAGGGGTATTTTTTGACTGCCATTTCAAGCAAGAGTACAATAAAATAAAGCAACGTGACTTTTCAAGACTTGGTCACAGATAGGGGTACAGGTGCTCTGAGGACAAAATCCGTCTCTTTTTTTTCTCCTTCTTTTATGGAATATGAGGAAAAACACAGTTCAGGTGTGTGGGCACACTACATGGCATACATATTACATTAATATTTGCCTGAAACTAGCCCTGCTCAACTCTGATGGAGAATTAACGTTTGAGTGTTACAGCGATGTGAAATGGCTATCTGAAGAAAGTGAGTCAGGAGTCAGGAACTGCTCTAAATCAAGTACTAACAAGTTATCCAGCAAAATAATCAAGGATTTTAGACACAATTTGCAGCAGGTAGTAACTTCTTCTGAGTTTTATCTATGCAGCTCACTTCCATTATATCTAAAGACCTTACACATGTGGTCAAAGAACCCCTGTAAATAATACTTGAGAAGCTGTGGGTAATGAGAATGGTGTTCATAAACTAGAGACTGACCCGTTATTTAACTTTTTAGTTTGGAATAGTTTTGTTTTACGTAAGAGAGGCAGTGATAGTAAGATTCCCATAAACTCCTCACTGTTTCTCCCTGCTGACATCTTACATAACCATGGGGTACTTGTCAAAATTAATACACTGACACTGGCACATTATTATTAACTAAATTATAGATTTCACCTGTTTTCCCACCAGTTTCCTGTTTATTCTAGGATCCCATGCAGGATCCATTTGGCTGTCACGTCTCCGCCAATCCTGCAAGCGTTCCGTCTTAGTCCTTTTCATGAACTTGACAGTTTTTATTTTGCACAATGTTCCTCAACTTAGGTTTGCCTAATGCTTTCCTCATAATTAAAGTGTGGTTGTGTTTTGGGGAAGAATACTAGAGGGATAAAGTGCTGTTTTTGTTACGCATCAGATACGTGACACTGACATAAAGTATAACTGCTGCTAAGCAGGATCACGCGGTTCAGGCAGCCCAGTTTCTCCACCGAATCTACTGCTCCTTTCTCTGGTCTTTAGAAGCCAGTCTCTCATGATAAAGGTTTAATTAAACTCCACTTCATAGGGAAGGGGTATTTATACTATTAAATTCTTCAAAGGAAGATTTGTCTTTTCCATTTAATCATTTACATCAGTATGAAGTCACATTTGTTTATTTTAGGCCAATACTATGTCACTTATCAGTAATTTCGCTGCTCAGGTTGTTTCAGCTTTGGCCACTGGGAGCTTTCAGGTTTGCCTCTTCGGTCTCACATGCCCTCACCCTTTCACAACACTTCTTGCATTCTGGCAGTACTCGCCAGTCCCATCTTGTATTATGAAATAACAGGCAGGAAAAAAAAAATTGGTCTCTCCCCTTGCTTTCTGGCACAGAGCTCCTAAATCCCTTCGCACTTCCTTGTTGACAGAATGTCTTTCGTTCTAATGAGGTGACTGTTGGTTGTTCCTAGGTGGGAGCTTGTCACCAGAAAAACCAAGTCATGTTTAAAAGCGTGGAGATTTTAGTTCCACCACCATCCCTTCTCCAGAGGGGGGCTGGATATTGAGTTAATGATCTATCATGGCTGTGTAATAAAACCTCCATAAAATCACCCAAAAGTGGGGCTTGGGGGAGCTTCTGGGCTGGTGAACACACAGAAGTGTCCAGAGAGCCTGGAAACTCCATACCACTTACCACATACCTTGCTCTATGCATCTCTTCCATCCAGCTACTCAATTATATCCTTTCATAATAAATTGGTAATCTGGAGAGCAAGCTGCATCCTGAGTTCTGTGAGGTGCTCTAACAAATTAACTGAACACAGGAGGGGGTCATGATTTGTAGCCAGTTGGTCAGAAGCACAGCTAATAACCTGGACTTGTGATCGGCATCCGGTAGGGTACCGTCTTCTGGACTGAACCCTTAACCTGTGGAATCTGATGCTCTCCAGGTAGTGTTAGTTAAATTATAGGGACACTCAGCTAATGTCACAGAGAACTGTTTGTTGGGGAAAACCTCCACACAGTTGGGGACCAGATGAGCATGGTAGTAGTGCTAGAGTAAAACAGGAGTAGTGCAGGTTTCCCTTTACGCTCCGTTCAGCCATTGCTTTAAGGAAACCTGGTTCTTTGTGGATTTCTAAGCCTGTTCTGCAGGCACAGCTAGGAAATCTGCATGTACACAAACCTATGTATGCGCACACACTGGCTCATGTTACGTATCGCAAATATAGAAAAAGCCACATGCTGGACTAGTGGGCCCTTAGGTGGTCCTGGTCTAAGTGCTAAAAAAGGTGATCAATTGTATTACAAACTCCCGACTGCTCAGAAAAGACGGCTCATGAGTTTACAGAGTCAAATCATGCAACATTTCACTATTTCCTCCATCTGGCAGGAGTGGATCAGGGAACATTTGTTCACTAAATACTTGGGATTTTAGCAAAATCTCTTATTTTTATGTTAATATCTATTCAGTAACCAGTAGAGCTTAGGACAATGGTAATCTCTCAATACATGTTTGCTAAATAAATGACCATCAATCACTTGTAAATGGGAGAAGTCAAGGAATATGCTGGATGAGAGTCAAGACCCAGAGTAGGTCTGAGATGCCAAAATGACCAGTTGAATGAAACCACATGACACTACTAAGAATAATTTTACAATTCTTCACTTTAAAAAAGTTTGCTAATGTACATAAGTATAAAAATGACAATCTGTGTGAAAAAGACTGGGTCAATTCCCAACTCACTGTCAAACTGGGATTGACATTAGGCTACAGAATTGAAGTCTAAAGTGGAAAAGACAATTCAGAGCAGGCTCCTCAAACTTTATAGTGTCTAAGAATACATGAAGTGAACAATCTGGAGGCTTGGCACCACTGACAAGAGATTTTTTAAAATACACTAAGGGTGATACTCAGGGATCTACATTTTCAATACAAACCTTTAGGTGATTCTGATGGGGGAGCTACTCCTACCATGCTACAAGCAAGAGGTCATGGCCACTGTTAACTACAGAATTTGTGGGCCCAATGCAAAATGAAAATACAGGTCTCTAATTTAAAATACATTTTGGGACTGGATCTGGTGGTCCAATGGTTAAGACTCTGTGCACCCAATGCACGGGGCCCTTGTCAGATCCCTAGTCAGGGAACTAGATCCTGCATGCTGCAAGAAAGATCGAAGACCCGGCATGCCACAACTAAGACCTGGAAAGCCAAATAAATAAATACAAATAAGAATAAAAAAATAAAAAATTATTTAAGTCAGTGTTAGCAGAGCCTTAAACGTAGCATGGGGCCCTTTGAGAACACACAGGTTACACACCCATGCAGCCATTTACTATATACCATGAGGTAATTATCTGCCTCTCCCATCAGATTAAAGGGCCATTATTTGGAAAAGGGAATAATTTTTTTGCATGACTCTAGAGCAGCAATGTCTAATAGAACTTTCTGAGATGATGGAAATGTTCTATATCTGTGCTGTTCAATTTGGTAGCCGCAACCCAATTGTTGGTATTAAACCCTGAAAAGTGGCTCGTGTGACCAAAACCGGATTTTAAGTTCCACATATTTAAATAGCCACATGAAGCTAGTGGTCACTATAATGAACAATGTAGCTCTAGAGAGCAGTGTAAATGAAGACAGAAGTCATATTAGCTCTAGAATACAAAACGTTCTAGATCTGTTGGGAAAAAAAAAAGAGGAAACAGCAGTTCAGCAAGGGAGTGAACTTCCTTTGGGAGGTCACTGCAGGTGACCACTGACAACCTGAGCAGTCACACAATGGTCATGGCTTGGACTGGATGGCCATGTGGCATGTGAGGGGCTCCCTCCTAAGAAGCTCTAAAGCAAAGCCCAGGAAAAATCACTTCGACTTTCTGTCACACAATTAGAACACCAAGAGAAATAAAGACAGTCCGTTCTTGGGATGGCCAAAGCAGCAACAGCTTATTAGTCCTTCCCACCCCTATCCATCATCAACCAAATTCTAGTCATGAGAGCACATTGTCTGTCCTGGTCTCAACTGCAAGGACTCAAGAACGAGAACTGATTTCAACAACTTTTCACTGTGCCCTTGCTATGGTACAACAGTACAGAATGACCATCAGGGACTATAATGCCGATTAATTTGAAAAAATAAGGATTATTTGAGTGTACATCAGACTAGCTCAGCCCACTAACTGGGTAACTTTACACAAACAATTAAACTAAGATGCAGTTTCCTCACCTAAGAACATGGATGACGTCACCTACCTCAATGGGTTTCAAGAGAAGACAACGGACATAAACCATTTTGCAGTATCCTGCCAATGAAGGGCTCAACATCAGCTGTTAATAATCTGGTTATCCTGGTCACTTAGCTGTTCAAGTATTTAGGGTCTGAACTGTTAACAGTAACTTAAGAATTATTAAGTGTCAAAAACTCTGGAATAAGGAAGGAATGCAACTTCCTTTTTTCTAAACAGCTGTATCTTCTTTGTAGAAGACTATATGGGATATGGGTCCCATTTATTTTTTTTTCTCATTAAGTTTTACATACTCGTACCTACTATTTCAGATAATCGCTTTCAAATATGAGCAACTGTAAACACACGTACGGGTAGCAGACGCCACTAGGAACAGTCTCATCAGGAAGGGAGAGGAGCCAGGTTTGCCAAGCAAGCACAATCTCCTTTTGAGTGTTCTAAACCTCGGGCTGTTAACAGCAGGCATTTCTTACTACATTCAACACTAGGCAAATCTGCTGAACGGATTTTAGGGTAGTAGGACAACAGGACTAAAACAGGGCCTAGGAGTGCTTGAGGAGCTTAGATCATTTAAGATCCAATTAAGAAAAGAGAAAACTGAATTATATCCACAATGAGATGCTTAAACAAGGTAGTGACTATCCTGCCACGGTCACACAAAGAAAAATGGAAGTGTCCAATAATGAGGCTGTAAAGCTGGCTGAAATAAAAGCAGCTCCTCAAAGTCTAGAAACAAATTCTTAGAAATCAGTCAGGATTGCTTGTGGTCAGGCTTCAGAAACAAAAATTCACAAGATTACTTTTTTTAAATCTGGCAGAGCAAGGAATCCTAAAAAGAATGTTAGTTTTTAATAAACACTTGCCATGTGCAAAAGCAACAAGGTATTTCTTTAACATCTAAAATGCCTTATGCATCTCTATCAACCTCGTGAAGTACAGCAGTCATCTGCTGCTATGGCTTTTGTGCCAGAGAACTCAGGAGGGCTGTCAAAGTGAACCTTTATACTTTGAGATCTCTTATTAAGCCTCAGACTATAATAAAATCAGAACTCTGTAGGCACATAGCCCTTTAGCATTTCACTGTCACATAAATTCTCAAGCTAGTCTTCCTACATATCTAATGTATTTTAGGACACCTGATGACTGAAATATTTTGTGTGTAAGTGCAGGGATTATCATTCACTTACTACCGATATATTTAAAATGACCAAAATATTAGACAGAAAATAGGAGAACTCTACTTTGGGGTTACAAAGCACTTGTTCTTGGCCAACTACCCAATGGTTTTATTTGACGGAAGATGTTCAGGCAGCGCTAGGTATCTGGTCAGTACTTACAGCTGTTGACACTCTTACTGATGGATTCCACCAGTCTCTTCAGAACCTTCTGGTCCATGTCAAGTGTGGCTTCAAAACAATGAAGACTTCTCAGACAGCCTACCTCTAAGCCTGGGCGTCCTGGGTTGCCACTGATTCCACAACTCACCACTCCACACCAACACAGAACGTGACCATGGCAACATCCCAGTAACCAAACACAGAAGGTTCTCAAGTAATTGGGAAAATATGCAATAATGGCTGTTACTCCTCAGTAAAAATTCAGTGATTTCATTAACGTTACTGTGATCTGAAATATTACAGCTAATCCAACTTTGATTTTTGTGGTTCAACACCACAAAATGTAAATCTAAAGTGGTATCTAAATTAAGGTATCTAAAATTAAAGTGGTATCTAAGAGTATCACCACTTATATTTCCCGAGAACAAATTCTACAGTTGAAAATGTTTATGGATGAACACATAATAACAATAAAGACCTTATCTTTAAGTAGAAATAAAAATAACTTCCTAGGCTATAAAAAGCTCCTTCAAAGGTTATATATAACTTCCTCTGAAAACTCTAACCAAATACCTTCTCATGATAAGCAAACAGAGGCCTCAATCTGAGAACTTTAGAGAAACATAAAATCCTCACATTTACCCCTCCAACTTATCTGACTGACTGGTAGGAAAACATAGTATGATTATGTCAAAGCTGGCCAAGATGGTAACTGTTCTCATATCTACTGTCAAATCCTGGTATAAAGAACAAACATCTTCTTGTGTATGTCTGCTGTTCTTCACTGTGGTAAAGCAAGGGGAAAAAAAGTACTAAAATGACTTTCAGAATCTAGAACAATGTATTCTTACTAAATTTTAAATAACATAAAAACAAATTAGGCAAATACAACTGGGAAAGAACAAAACTCCCAAAACTTTTCTTAAGGAAATGCCAAATGTTCACTGATTTTAAGTTGAAAACTGGCAAGTTTTAATAACTGTTCTTAGTGGCTAGTCAATTGTTCTCCATGAAATTAAAAGAAAATTAGACTCAGCACATCTTGACTGGAGGAATATGAATCCATACTCTGGATAAAGTAAGTTCAGAGTAATCTTAGGGTATTTTAAACACCTAAATATACTAAGGGCAACCAAAGGAATTCAAAACAATCAGAAAAAGGTAGTACCAGGTATAAATTCAGTTTCTCAACCCAGACACTCATCAATTTTGTTGCAGTTACCTTGGCATCATTATCCAAATAACATGTTTTATGTTTATAAAATTAGTATATAATTATTTAAGAAAAACGAGTTTGGTGGAGGGAGAAAGAGATGAACTGCTGCTTTTAGTGGGACATAACATCCTATACAGGACCAGTCTGTAAAGGTATACTTTTATGTTCAAAGCAAATCTGATCAGCAAGTAACCCGATAAGTCTGTCCTATCCTTTAGCATTTCATGAACAATTCTGAGAAACTTCTTTTAGGATAAAAAATGTCTCCCTAACTTGCTGCGTACTCAAAACCTTGTAGATTTCTTTAAAGAGGAAAGATTATGAAAATTCAAGCATAAAATTTAGGGAAATTTGCTAAAAATTTGGGGACATGTCTTATCCATCTACCATTTCATAATTAACAGTGTTTCTTAATGTTTATAACTTGTGACTCAAAGGGAGCTGATAAGAACACAGCTATTTTTACGTAAAATAGCTATTTATTCAGCTTGTCATGCCAAAATGTTTTGTGCATATGCCACTATAATTAGCACACCCTCTGTAACAGGCAAAATTGTACATCAAATTATATTTCATGTTACCTGATTATATAAAAATGTAAAGTGAAAATGATTTATCAATTCTCTTTAACATTACTAGTAAACAGTTCAGCAGGAGATATGAGGCACAAAATCTTAGTAAAATATGACACAGGAAAAGCAATAATGTAATTCTCACTTAAATTTAACTCATCATAATCTGTTGTGAATATACAAAGACAAACTTTTAAAACGTTATATTTACTAAGATTCTGGCAATAGTTTTATGTAACAAGACACAGCATACCAGGCCTGCCACTCAACTTATTTATGGTAAGTCTCAGCTTCAATATGAAGCTGTTTAAAAAAAAAAAAAAAATCAAAAACCTGCTTTTTACATGCTAAATAGCTTGGCAAGTATGCTGTTAAACACAGTAAGGAATTTAAGATAGCAAGAATAAGAAGTTACTAAAAAGCTAAACATTACAGCCTAAACAAAATTCATACAAAAAATAAAAGAACTATCACTGGTTACATAAAATTTTCCTGACTGGTTAAAACTTAAACAGTATAAAACATGCATTTCAGAATCTTTAGCTATCAAGTTCAAAAAGTACCAGTGTCTATCTGAAATGATTCCTTTTCAAAGCCAAAGTGTAGTCAAAATTAGTTCAAATGTTATAACACATTCTAACGCTAAAAAACATTCAGTATTATCGAAGTGGAGGTAAACCCCAGAGCTTCTGGGGCATTCTCATGCTGCAAAAGGCTATTCCTCTGGTTCGCTCAAAGCAGCACGGGGCAGAGTCCCAGGTGACTGAGCTCAATGGAGGGCAGGGCCGCCATACCTGGCTCTGACCTCCCCACGAGGCATGGCTGCTGTGTCCACAAAAATAAGACGTGTGAGGATAAAGGCACGCTATTCTGCTAGCTAAAGTGATAGCAAACCACCCCCACCCCTAAAAGCTCCTTCCCCAGGTAAATAAAAAGGGGGGAAATTTAAAATACACTTATCTACAAGAGTAAGGATTTTGAAATATCAACGTAATCCCTACTTCAAAAAAGGTTAACTAGAATCATCTGGTCATTTCTGATTACATCTTAATGATGTATACAGATTCAGTTTTTGTTGATTTATCATTAGATACTTCTAGTCAAAATATTAACTTTATTCCCAAATATCTTAAACCACTAGTATGACTGCAGTGTATTACCTCCCAGAGTTACTGGAAGAGGGAAAAAAATAGATGTTCAAGCAGCAGGCAACAATTATGGCCCTTTCACACAGTGGCATCTGAGTGGCTACTGATAGTCCAGGAATAATTTAAAAACAAGAAAATTCATGCATTTTAGTAAATATGTCATAATTTTCACAGTTGAAATTTCCTTAGACATTGCACTTTCTTTATAAGTGAATCCTGATTCTTCTTAATGTTATGGTGAGTCAGGACTTGAACTAGCAGTCTTCTTTTTCTTCTTCTTACTGTGTTTCTTATGCTTCTTTTTCTTTTTTGTCTTTTCCTGAAAAGATAGTTCCGTGTTAGATATAGCTACATGAAAATCTGCAAATTAAAAACAACTTCACTACAGTACTTCTAAGTTACTATATAGTCATTTCAAACAATCCACACAAACAAGTAAGTTACTCAAAACATTTCTCAAAAAGTCTCAATAATACTGTATGAGGACTAAGAAAGTACTTGTCAATTTTCAAAAGATAAGGAAAAACTCTATGTCAGTAGCACATTACTGTAGCTTCTAACAACATTTCCTATAGGAAATAAATTCAACTGAATTATGGTGTCAACTACTATACTTTATGTTATCTAATTTCTAAAGCTGCAATAATTATAGTTACTGCAAAGGAAACGTCACATCGTAGTAAAACAATTGTAAAATGGTAGCATTCAAAGGAAAAATACACTAAACTTATTTTTAAGTAAATAGGAACAGATATTATGTACTGCTTAGGCTGGTAGGACTACTTCATTAACTTAACAACTAACTGGTACAAAATACTCATGCAAAGTTGAAAAGTCTATTTAGCGCTCGATTTTTAGAGGAAAAGGCCATTGTAAAAGTAGTGATACTGTGACTAGACAAAGGAAGCTAAAATTTTGCTACACCCTGACTTTCTGATGTAAAAGAGAAAGGCAGACCTTTTAGAAACAGATATGTGGAAATGGGGCATCAAGTAATACACTAGTGTTGATATTCAGGAGAAGAAAGTAAAAGGGGAAGAGGCACACAGAGGTGGCAAAGGCAAAGCTTCCAGTCCATCTCTTAATCTAGGAGAACTTTCCACCCCTTGCCCGCACTAAGGTCTTTACTACATTATGGCTTTTAAAACAACTTCCATTGTTCTTCTCATTACAAGTCCGAGTATTCATGGACTGCTAGAGTCCAAATCTTATATTTGGACTTTTTAAAAAAAGTTTTTAAATTTTTTATATTTGGACTTCTAAAGGTAAGTTTTGGGTACAGGTTCCTTTTTCATAAAAGGACTGCTGGTCATTCTGTTCTTAGAAACGTTTCTTCTTGGCTCCCATGACACCTCACTGCTGCTTTTCTTCTATCACAAAGGCCCCAGTTCCTTTGCTGGTTCTTTCTCTGCTCAACCTTTGTGGGCTTCCTTCTTTTCCACATGCTTTCCCAATCACAGGCTTTAAATACCACTTACAAACCAATCTCTATATCCAGTCCTAGGCTCTGAAGACTGCAAGTACCTCATTAATAGCTCTACCACGCATATTTAAAACTACCATTAAAAATGCCTGATTTTTCTCTCAAGGTCCTCTCTCAGCCATTTCAGTGAACGGCACCACCAATTAATTCACATTTTAGTTAGGCCAAACCATCTAAGCTTCTTCTACCTCCACCCTCCACCCCTGAAGCACCAGGCAAGTCCTACCACCTAAGTCCAAAACACACCTAGAATCTACCAGGCCAGTCCATCTCCACCACTATCACTGCAATGCAAGTAACAGCGTTTCTCATTTATGTCTACCCATCACCTCTGTCAAATGTTTTAAAAAGGTAAAGCTGACTCAGGCCACCTGTTTGCTTTGATGAAAACCCGCTGTGCTCTGAGACAGGGCCTCTGCTTACTTTCCAACCTCACTGTATGCTCTTCCTCTTTGTCTTCTACGAATGAGCCAAGCCGACCTTTTTTCATTTCTTCAAATGTACCAAACTCACTCCCACCACAGGTCCTGAACTCTTCTCTTTGTCTAGGACAGTCTTCCTTTCATCTACTGGTTGGCTCTTTTTTGTGAATCAGATTTCAGCTGAATTTTACTTCCTCAAAGACGCCTTCCCTCCCTCAGTCAGCCTCTCATTTATCACCCTCTTATCTATCTTGAATTCCATTTTAACAGCTCTACCAAGACAGAACCATGCCTGCATAGAGAAGCTTACTAAATACATGGAACTGAAGTATGCAAATACAAATTACAATTATCCCAAATCAATTAACTTTATGTGTTAATAATCTAACCAAAGATGAAAGCAGTCTTTACCCAAATTATTTTCCCACTCAGGAAAAAAGTCTCTTAAATGTTTCCTTGATCTTGGAGCATATAAAATGTTATGAATCATACATTATCAGGTGAACCTTCTTTTCAGAGGACTCTCATTTTAAGAGCAAAAGACATTCTGAGGAGGGGTAGTTACTGTCAAACCTACAAATGATGCTGTTCATTTTTCTTTTACTTCTCCCTAAGAAAACGCCTTCAAAGGCCACAGCCCACACTTATGGGAGTACTCCTAAGTTACTCTGGTGGTATGACCTCCATTTCTCTTTGGTAATTTGTTAAACACTTTCTCTAGGCTGGTCTACTTCTCATTGGGTACCAGGTCCATTTTCCTTATTTTCGTCTTCCAACTTAACTTCTCAACCTGCACAGCAGTAGAGATGGCTTCAGAAATGACAAGAATCATCTTTATTACTGAATCATTTATACTGTCATGTTCCTGCTTATTTTTCACTGAAGCTTGTGCTTCAGGAGCTTTTTTCTGTTAGTATCAGCTTGGTAGATCTGGGAATAACTACTCTTGAAGATGGAGGGAATCACCATACTTTAGTTTCATGTTTCCTAGTATCATTTAAGGAAGTCAAACAAAAGTTTAAGCTTATAGTTTTAACAGTGAAATACTGAAATGCTACCAGGATATGCTTCCCTTTACTCTGAGCCAATTTAACTTTCTCCAGCTCATTAAGTGAAGCTGCTGAACACCACATCTTTCTCAATAAATATTTAGTTCTAGTAAATGCAATCATGTTTTATCATGATGTTTACATTAAACAAAATAGCTATACTGTTATCATGTAAAAACATAAGTGATACTTGCTGTTGTTTTTTCTCGTTCTTCACTGCTTTTCTTCTTTTTCGCTCGTACCTACAGAATTAAAATTTTTGTGGAGAAAAGTTAAATATGTAACTTATACCCAAGGCGTTTTTTTTTCCACTCACTAATATAACTTGGATCTTTAAAAATTTTATGTAAAAAACTTTTTTTGGACAATGAAATAACATTTTAAGTTGCTCTGTTGTTCCTTAATCTTCTGTTAAATCACAGGGAGGATTCAATGAAAAACCTTTCAAGGAAAGAGAAAGGGTTAATCACTCAGTTGTGTTTGATTCTTTGCGACCCCATGGACTGTAGCTCACCAGGCATCTCTGTCCATGGGATTCTCCAAGCAAGAATACTGGAGTGGGTTGCCATTCCCTTCTCCAGGGGATCTTCCTGACCCAGGAATCGAACCTGGGTCTCTTGCATTGCAGGCAGATTCTTTACCACTGAGCCACCCTTTCAGAAGTACCTAAAAACAGCAGTAGAGGTATAGTAGATAAAAAATTTGAGCTGTGAAAGAAAACAGACTAAGCTCTGAATCCTACCTCTGCTATATATTACTCTTCAGTTGTAGCCTCTTGGTAAAATGTAGGTAAAACCCACCCTCAAGGGAGCGGGCTGGAATACAGTAGGTGTTTTTTTTTACCTAAGGTGTTGGTAATAAATAGTAGCTTTATATGTGTATATACATATATATATATATATATATATATATATATAAATGTATATAGTATACCTGGTACCAATGAACTGATTAAAATTTTTTTAAGTAACAATTATTACCCCATTAATATTTTATTTAAATATTCTGAAGTGTGATACACTGGATTTACATTACATTCAAAGTTGCTAAAGCTGATGTGTATTAATGTTAAATCCAAGTATAACATTTTTTTATTAAGAAATATATAATTAATACAACATATTATAATAGTAAAGGGCAGAAATTGCCAAAATGTTGAACTGTTTGGTTTATCTGCTAGGCTACTATATGTTAAATATTTGAAAAGTAACTGACACTAGAACAAACTAAAACAGACTAAAGGAATAGAACAAATAAACATTAGAAACTATTAGCTTTCAACAGGGGTGGCAGTTCTCTTGTGAAAACACTTAGAAAATAAAAATATTGTTTCTCGTGGTATTCTTGTCATCACAATGACCGAGTGGGGAGGGCCAGGTTAATACAGGGGAAGGCTGTCATGCAATGTCTAGGATAGCCCTGACATAAATTTATAAGAGCCTGCTTGACATTCATATAATGGACCCAATTATGAAAAGTAAAAAATCCTAAAAGATGTTGCTGTTGAAGTGCTGCACTCAATATGCCAACAAGTTTGGAAAACTCAGCAGTGGCTATGGGACTGGAAAAGGTCAGTTTTCACTCCAGTCCCCAAGAAGGCAATGCCGAAGAAACGCTCAGACTGCCGCACAGTAACTGTGCTCATCTCACAGGTGAGCAGGGCTATGCTCAAAGTCCTTCAAGTCAGGCTTCAGCAGCATGTGAGCCGAGAGCTTCCAGGTAGACAAGCTGGATTTAGAAAAGGCAGAGGAACCACAGATCAAATGGCCAACATCCACCAGACCACAGAAAAGAAAGGGGATTCCAGAAAAAATCTGCTTCTGTTTTATTGACTACACTAAAGCCTTTGACTGTGTGGATCACAGCTAACTGTGCAAAATTCTAAAAGAGATAGCAATACCAGACCAACTGACCTGCCTCCTGAGAAACCTGTATGCAGGTCAAGAAGCAACAGTTAGAACTGAACATTGAACAACGAACTAGTTCAAAATTGGGAAAGGAGTCTGTTAAGGGTGTATACTGTCATCTTATTTATTTAACTTATATGCAGAGTACATCATGCTTGAAATGCCAGGCGGGATAAATCACAAGCTGAAATCAATATTGCTGAAAGAAGTATCAATAACCTCATATGCAGATACCACCACCCTAATGGCAAAAAGCAAAGAGGAACTAAAAAGCCTCTTGACAGTGAAAGAGGAGACTGAAAAAGCTGGCTTAAGACTCATCATTCAAAAAACTAAGACCATGGCCTCCAGTCTCATTACTTCATGGCAAATACATGGGGAAAAATGGTGACTGCAACCACAAGATTAAAAGATGCTGGCCCCTTGGAAGGAAAGCAATGACAAACCTAGACAGCATATTAAAAAGCAGAGACATTACTTTGCCAACAAGGTCCATATAATCAAAGCTATGGTTTTTCCGGTAGTCATATATACGGGTGTGAGTTGGACCATAATGAAGGCTGAGCACCAAAGAATTGATGCTTTCAAACTGTGGTGCTGGAGAAGACTTCTGAGAGTTCCTTGGACAGCAAGGAGATCAAACTAGTCAATTTGCAAGGAAATCAACCCTGAATATTCATTTAAGGACTGATGCTGAAGCTGAATTTGGCCACCAGATGTGAAGAGCCGACTCACTGGAAAAGATCCTGATGCTGGGGAAGATTGAGGGCAGGAGGAGAAGGGGACGACAGAGGATGAAATGGCTGGATGGCATCACCAACTCAATGGACAAGAGGTGAGCAAACTTCAGGAGATAGTGAAAGAAGCTTGGTGTGCTGCAGTCCATGGGGTCACAGAGTCAGATATGACTGAGTGACTGAACAAGTTTATTAAAATATGAACACAAAGTATTTTGTACTGGGTTTTAACATACAGTTGGCCCTCCATATCCACGGGTTCAGCACTCGTGGATTCAATCAACCACGGATCAAAAATATTTGGGAAGGGGATTCCCTGGTGGCTCAGTGGTAAAGAATCCACCTGCAATACTACGGATGCGGGTTCAACCCTTGCATCCAGGAAGATGCCACATGCCGTGGATCAACTGTGTCCATGTGCCACAACTACCGAGCCCATGCTCTAGGGCCCAGGAGCTGCAACTACCGAGCCCACATGCCACAACTACTGAAGCCCGTGCACCCTAGGGCCCATGCTCCACAGGAGAAGCCGCCGCAGTGAGCAGCTTGCGTGGAGCAACTAGAGAATAGCCCCTGCTCACTGCAACTAGAGAAAGGCCCACCCAGCAACCAAGGTTCAGCACAGCCAGAAGTAAACAAATTTTTTTTTTTTAATTTGGGGGAAAAAATGGCAGAAAGTTTCAAAAAGCAAAACTTGAATTGGCCACATGCTAGCAACTATTTATATAGCATTTACATTGTATTAGGTAATATATGTACTCTACAGATAACTTAAAAGTACATGGGAGGATGTACATAGGTTATACACAAGTATTTACTATGCCATTTTGCGTAAGAGACAACACCTGTGGATTTTGATATCCACAAGGGTCCTGGAACCAACTCCCTGCAGACATGGAAGAATGACAGGATAGAAAATGTCCTGTAAGAGCGATATGTAAATAGAGGGAAGACTGTCCTTTGTTTCATTCGGGGCTTTACTGGGAATTGTCTACCATTTTCGAAATGTCACTGAAGACAATGCTATTATATGGCTTTTTAAGGGCATAGGTCAATTTGCCTGCTATAGCCTGAATTTTGCTGCAGCTCAATTATTTTATGTCTTCTAGTGTTATTATGCTCAAATACTTATATACAGAAACATAATTTCATAAAATTGTATATTATTTTCTTCTATTCATTTTTATTTCTTTAGGGGATATCATCAATAATATAAAAATGTGTACAGGTAAGCTATATTACCTACAAACTTCATTAAAGGAATAGTGTGAAATATTGCTACATAAATATTGCTATAAAATTGCTACATGTAAAAAAAAAAAAGATACACTATGGTTGTGATAAAAAATAAATAAATAAATAAATTAAAAAATAAAAAAATAAAAATGTTTACTGAAAAAAAAAAATTGCTACAGGTTTTATTTTTTAAATGAGGAATTCAAGTCTAAGCAGAGGACTACATCAAAGATGATAACTTATAAACCATAATGAACTAAGAGTGGACTCTAATTCCAATAGAGTACAAAATCTAAGACATGGATATTATAGCTGAAAAGGACGGTCTAGATTACCTAATCATAGTCCCTCATTTTATGGATAGGAAAACTGAGGTCCTATCAACATTTCTGCTTTACCTTATAACCTTTCTGCTTCCTAAAGAGCAGCTCAAAACCAAAACAAGGTGGGGAGGGAGGTGGGAGGGGGGATCAGGATGGGGAACACATGTAAATCCATGGCTGATTCATGTCAATGTATGGCAAAAACCACTACAATACTGTAAAGTAATTAGCCTCCAACTAATAAAAATAAATGGAAAAAAAAAACCAAAACAAGGGAATGCTGGGTTTTAATGTGCTACATACTATACAGTATTTTTCATGTCATCAAAATGGTAGTAAAATTTAAAGAAAATATTAGGAGAGTAAAAATAAAAGTTCTCAGGTAGGAAAGGTATGTGGGAATATAATTATCAAAATAAAAACTATATTACTATCTTCTGTAAAAATGCAGAATTTAATCTTAAATGGCATTTAACATGTTAGAAAAGTGAGTCAAATACTTATGAAAAATTATTTTTTAATAATTCACATTCATTAAGTCAAATAACTAGATATTTTAAAGTAAAGAAAATGGATTTAATTATATACTTACCTCCTCAGTATACTCTGATTCTGACTCTGACTCAGATGATAATGGTTTATCTTCTGGATACATCTTTCTTTTTTTGCTGAGCCCTTTAATGTCCTATGAAAAATAAATACATGTATGTTGACTCAGATATAATAGTATGCACAAGAATTTTATGTTTCTAAGTTCTACTTAAAAATTTTTCCTATTATCACAAAAACTACCCATTTTCATTTTAGAACTGTCTAAAATTGGTGACATTTATCAGAAATCAGTTTCTAATTTCAATAAAAGTTACTTTTATTAAGTAACTTGAAAAGAAATAACTAAACATCCACTTAGATGTAATATCTTCTTTACTTTCTCTAATTAAACATGATAGAATCTTAAAGAGTTAATGAAAACATAGCATAAGATTTGGGTCCTTTGCATTCTAACTATTGTTTCTATCCAGGGTTGGATCAGACAGGCCTAGTGCTATAGAAAAGAATCTAAAAACATGACTGCACTTTAATGCATTTAAAGTGTTAAATTTACATTAAAAAACAAAACAAAACAAAAAACCCCAAACTTAATCCCTAAGCATTTAATGATGAGAAAATGTACAACTCGGGGAGAAAAGGAGATTAAGACTGGGAGAAGGGAGAAGTACTCTGAAAACATCTGAAGCAAAAGCAACAAAACATGAAGATGTATTAAAGCTGCATTCTGGATATGCCAGTTGTCATTTTATATTTTCTATATACTTTATCTGTATGTATGAAGTAGTTCATAACAAAAACAAAACCACATAGAGGAAAAAATGTTCGCCACCTAATCTTACACAGAAAAAAATGACCATTTTTTTAATAGCACGAACCCAATTTTGAAGAGGTAAACAAGGAAATAAACTAAAAGTGGTGATACATGTTAGATTACAGGTGATTTGTTTCTGTAAACAGCTTTATTATTTTAGTAGAAATAATTCATTATAGGAAAATGCACCCAAATCCCACTACAGGGATTTTGGGAAATATCTATGTGTGTATGTATGCCTTTACATAAATACCTGTTTATATAACCCACTCTTTTCACCCAATAGTATCTTTCCATGCCAATTACACCATCATTTTTGGCCACTTTTGATATACATTGAAACTATGTATCACTGAAAGTATATCCCACAACTTACTTAACCCATCAGGCATATAGGTTTTTGCTATTAAAGTTGAAACAGAGTAAACCGTATGAGGGAAAAATCTTTGTCTAACAATAAAGACTAAATAAAAAACCAAAGCAGCCTTCATCTAAATCATTGTCTCCCTCTCCCACAACCCTCAAAATTGTTTATTTCATTCATTCATCAATCACACGTCACCAAAAAGCCTCTTCATCAGATTCTTTCGTCAGTCATAGCAATCTCAGATTATTGGAATATAGTTCATATTTTCTTTAAGAATTGCCTAAACATGTTTTTTGGGTTTCCCAGGTGGCACAGTGGTAAAGAATCTACCTTGCCAATGCAGGTGGTGCAAAAGACAGTTTTAATCCTTAGGTCGGGAAGATCCCCTGGAGTAGGAAATGGCAACCCACTCCAGTATTCCTGCCTGGAAAATGCCCCGGACAGAGGAGCCTGGCGGGCTGCCGTCCATGGGGTTGCAGAATCGGACACAACTAAGCACATACACACGTGTTTTGCCTATTTTTGTGCGTGTGAGGTATTCTCTTTCTCTTAATTATTGAAGATAAAGGTTTTTGTCTTACATATTCCTAGTAGTTTTTCTTAGTCTATTCATATATTTAAACTTTGTTCATAGCTTAAATGTCTTTTTGCCATTCAGAATTTGAATTATATGGTCAAAAGTTCCTGAGTTTTGAGGCAAAGGCCTTTCTCACTCTGATGTTATATTCACCCATGTCTTTCTCTAGCTACATTTTCATACATTTCTGACTTATCTGGGAATTTATTTGGCCTTAAGGAGTGTTAAACTTAAAATTTTTCAAATGGTTAGTCACTTTTGCCCAGGAAATGCCACCTCTGGCATGTATAAATTCCACAAATACTTACCAATTTTTACCTGGACTTTACAATGTTCCATTGTTTTTTCTATTCCTGTACCATACCACATTGCTTTAATCAAAGTATATGAAAAATGTTTCAACTTCTAGTAGGGCAAGTCACACCCAGAAATTTTATTAAATTTTCATGTGTATCTGAATAGATGTGTATAGTTTTCTTTAAATTAGTCCTGCTCACTTCCTTAAGATTTTCCTATATATTTTTTGTAAATATTATAAATGAAATAGATTTTTCCATTATATTTTCTACTTAGGTATTGCATTGCCAAGCACTATGGAACAATTTAAAATAAAAATGGAGCTAAAAATAATGATTGATTTATAAGACTGAAAATTAATACATTATAAGATTATAATAGACATCCTAAATAAGATTAAGAGAAATCGTAGACTTCTCTTAAGAGATGTTAACTATGTGTCTGAAAGATTAGCAATCAAGGTATATAACTTACCAATTTGAAAGATTTTAATCAAATGGTAAAATGGGCCAAGACCATGAAGAGGCAATCCACAGAGAGTGAAATCTGCATGGCTAATCAATGGAGGGGCTCAGACATCTCCACACATTAAACTAGGAAAAAGAAGGTCTCAACAGTGTGCTAGGTATGTATGAGGAACAGGGGTACTATCATATATTACTAGTAGGAGTGTAAATTAGAAAATAAGCACTTTGGCGAGCAAAATGCAGACACGTTAAATGTATCAATATGTTCCCTGGACCCAGAAATTATAGTCCCAGGTATACCTTAGAAAATCAATGAAAAGCTAAGGAAAAGGAGAAAAAGATAACAAATAGCCACGGCAGCACTGTTTGCACTACTCAAGAAAGAAAACAACCTAGATGTCTACAAACAAAAGAATAGAAATACAAATTGTGGTGCATTAAAATAATGGACTAGTAGAAACAGAAGAAACAAACTTCAGAGTATCAAGAAGGATAAATGTCAACAGCACTGTTACATGAAAAAAAAACAAGTTTCAGAAGAAAACACAATGATACCATTTTGAAAATAAGTGTGAACACACACTTATCTAAAGGTGGATGGGAAGGATACACAGTAATTTGAAAAACAGCTGCCTACAGTGAAGGAGAGTGTGACAGAGACTTCTGCCAATAAAACAAGACATGACAAAATGTAAACCATTTGCTAATTCTACTGGGTATGTATATGTGTTATTTATTATATATGTATATATTACTCTCTATTTTGTATATTTTGAAGTAGTTCAAATTCATAGTGCAGATGTTTTATTAGTTATTTCATGTTTGTAAACTGCCAGTTTTCAGTTTTACATTGTTTTTAAACACATGAAAGTAACCACTTATTATTTTATAAAGATTTTGAAAATCAGGAATTTCTGTTGAAATTATGTCACACCCTATTGGAACTGAAAATAATCACAGTTTCCTTCCTTTGACCAGTTAATATGGCAAGTTATATTAATAAATTTTATATCCTTGAATCCTTGGAATTAATGAAACCAACTTTGTCGATATGCTTTCTTTTTTAGTGTATTTATTTGCAAACTGAAAAAAAAAAAAGAAACCCCTTCTACATATATACCCAAGAGAAAACATTATAGACTGAGGGAAAGAAGCCAGTCACATAAGGTCACATGCAGTGTAACTGCTTTATCTGGTACAGCCGGAACATGTAAACCCACAGAGCCATAAAGCAGACTGGAGGCCAGCACAGGATGAGGAGAGCAGAGAAGGAGCTGAGGACTTAATGAGTATGGGTATTTTTAAAGGAATTATGAAAAAGTCTTGAAACTAAAGAGCTGATCTGCTCAACAATGCCCAACACTGTACACAAGCTAAGTATCACCAAATTATAATTGAAAGATGGTTCATAGCATATTATGCGAATTTCACCTCAATTTTTGTTGTTGTTCAGTCACCAAGTTGTGCCCGACTCTTTGCGACCCCATGAACTGCAGCACACCAGGCCTCCCTGTCCCTCGCCATCTCCCAGGATTTGCCCAAGTTCACGTCCATTGGAATGATATAAAAAGACTGAATAAACTTTGGTGACATTGGTATTTAATTTTCTTTTATTAGTAATGCTTTCTTTAGGCTTTTATTTTTAATAATCAGAAAGACTGCACGTGTGCTCAGTTGCTAAGTTGTGCCCGACTCTTTGTGACCCCGTGGACTGTAGTCCGCCACGCTCCTCTGTCCATGGGGTGTCCCAGGCAAGAACACTGGAGTGGGTTGCCATTTCCTTTTCCAGGGAATCAGAAAGACTAAAAATTATAAATTAGAAACTTAGATAGGCATAAATTTAGCATTAAGTATAGATAAGCTATAAATCAAGATAAAACATCTACTTACAGTAGAAAAAAGATTTTTCAAATTATCTATGTTTTACTCAATTTGAAACAGAAATCCATGTTCTTTCATTAAAAGGACCTTCTTTAAAATGAGTGAGGAGTGCTCACTTCAGCAGCACATATACTAAAAATTGGAACGATACAGAGAAGATTAGCATGGCCCCTGCACAAGGATGACATGCAAATTTGTGAAGCATTCCATATTTTTAAAATAAAATAAAATAAAATGAGTGAGGAAACAAATGGAATGTTTAAAATCTTCATTATTTCAATTTTGAGATAATACACTACATCTACACAAATTCTCTGCAGGAATACTCTTCTCATCTTTTACCTTCAATAACGAACCCAATAAGCAAAAGAAATCTTAAGTTAAAAAGGGAGTGCTTTATTGTTAATTTCTTGAAGCAATTCTTAAAGGAAATGAAGTATCTTAAATTAAAACAATGTAGAGATTTCCCCGGTGGCTCAGTGGGAAGAATACACCTGTCAGTGCAAGGGACATAGGTTGAATCCCTGGCCCGGGAAGATTCCACATGCCACAGAGCAACTGAGCACAGGTACTGTAGCTCGTGAGCCTGTCTGCCACAGCTTCTGAAGCCCGCACGCCTCAGAGCCTGTAACAGGTGCAGCCACGGCGGTGAGGAGTCCATGCGCTGCAACAGAGGGCAGCTGCCACGCGCTGCAACGAGGGGGAGTCCACGCAAGGCAGTGCAGACCCAGCGCAGTCAAAACTAGATGAGTAATACTGAAATACATACACACACATATACAAAAGACAGCATAGAATATAAATTACCTTTTCTTTCTCAGTCGCATCTTTTGACTTCTTTCTCTTTTTTAAACTATCCTAAACAAATATATATATGTATTAATTTTAAATGTGAAAGATATAGCATTATACCACAATGAACAAAAATATCAAGAAGGAGATTATGATTGAAAGAAATCTACTTCCAGGCAAGAATTTCTACTTTTGAATCTCTCTGAGCTAGCTATTAACCTCTCTCAGCCTTCCTTATCCATAAAATGGGATAAATATCTACTTCATAGAGTTGCTGAGAGGACTGAGTTAAAAGTTAAGTGCTTAGAACTAGGCCTAATACATAGCAGGCGTTCAATAAATGTTAGCTATCAGTATCATTAAACTGGCTCTTCTGCTTTAAAACAAAACTACCATCTACTGAGTACTTTCTAGATGCCAGGCATTTTATCAGAAGAAATCTCAGTAGGTCAAGCAGATATCCACCATAAAACCACACAGTGGTTTTGTTCTCCTTGACCCCCAGGACAGTGCTTGTCAATTGTGAAACACCACGTCAGAATCATAGAGACTATTTGTTAAAAATGCAGACTTCTGATCCTGATCAGCCTCACTAAATCAGACTGTGGAGATGGGGCCCAGGAATCTACATTTTTATTATAACCTGCATGTATTTCTTATGACCACTAATTTTTAAGAGTTAACTGTACCTGAAAATTCTGGATAGTACAGAACAGATGAGGTATAGTACCATAAAAAGGATCAGATATCAAAAGACAGATTCAACTTCCAATTCTAATACTATTTGTATGAATTTAAGCAAGATGCTTTATATCTGCACTACAAATTCTTTATGAAGATGGGAAAAACAATGTCTGCCATGTTTATCATAAAGTTACCATGAAAATTTTGAGACACAGAGACCTATCTATATGTTAGAGCATTTAGAGAACAATAAAATGCCCTATGTACATATTAAGTGCACCAATTAAGCGGCACAGAGCATCAAAGTACAAAAAACAGTGTCACATTTCAACACTGAGAGCTATTTAAGATAGTAAGAATGAAAAGAAAATCTAAAAAAAAAAAAAAAAAAAGAAAATCTAAGTAAATGTCTGCTATCCAAAACATTGCTCATTTAAACAATTTTACCTTATTGTCTGATTCAGTTTCTGACATGGAATCTTCAGAAGATTTATGTGAACGACTCTTTTTTTTCTTTTTCCTTTTTCCTTGTCTTTTATCCTACATGAAACATAAATAATTTGCTTTGTTTCGTTGCATATATTCGTTGCATTTAATTGACATCAAAACTTTATCAATGAACAAAACTTAATGAAAATATCAGCTTGTAAATATGTTTTATTTTAAAATTAATATTTAAAATATAACATACATACATCATTTTTTAAAATTAAAAACATTAAGTGATTTGAGTCACATGTAATTCTTAGCTAAAATGGACTTTGCGATTTTTAAATCCATTTCTTCTACTAATATTCTTAAATGAACAAGACGAATTTAGGAATCTAAAAAATACATTTACCAATATTTTAAGTATCTAGTTATTTATTCATGTCAGTGCTCTCAGAGATAATCAATCAAAACTTGGAAGTAAACATTTCCAACAGACACTTCATAACAGGTTTCCCCTTGTTATGAAAGATATCAGAGATGCCATGTCATGTATTTCACACTTCATCACGGTAGCAAACATTACCTCGTCTTCAGAATCTGAAGAACTGCTGGAAGAATCAGAGCTTGATGAAGAAGAAGATGAATACTTGACCAAACACAAAACAATTAAAGCTTGTGAGATGCAGGAACTTTTCTTTTACTAAGTCTCTCAAATACTTAACGAAATCAATCTAGTTTCTGAGAAACAGATGCCATATGACTTAAATATTAAATGTCAAATTTCACAGCCCCCCCCAAAGTAACAAAAGATGTGGCAGCAGTAGTCAATTTTCCCTCTTTAATTGTAACGAAGGAGTCACAAGGTTATAAGGAGGTCAGCACCTTCCTTTTATTATCACTAACAGAAGAAAACCACCCATAACTACCAAAGGACCTCCAGACTCTGACTTATCTAGAGTTAGCATACAGTTTGTATCAATTACTCTTACTTTTTGTTTTGTAGGCTCTTGAATATAACATTTAGAAAAAATGGAAAACTTTTGCTCACCCTACCAGATTTCTTCTTTTCTTTTTTCTTTCTCTAAAAGCAAACAAATACAAGTACAAATCTAAATAAGGTAGTGTTTTCCAGTGGACCTATTAACAGCAGTACACAGCATTACTATGTAAACCGAACTCTGAGAGTAAGAATAGCAATAAAATAAAAATGGCATTACCTGTCTTTTTTTGGATGAGCTCTCACTTCCGCTTAACAATTTCTCCCTGTGTTTTTCTAGTTCTTTCTTCCAGTTCTGCAGAAAAATTATAAACACATCAGAGGTCGTCTCTCCCCTCCTAATATATCTAAATGTTGCTGTCCATTGTTGTTCAGTCACTAAGTTGTGTCCAACTCTTTGAGAGCCCATGAACTGCAGCACGCCAGGCTTCCCTGTCTTTTATTATCTCCCTGAGTTTGCGCTAACTCATGTCCGTTGAGTCGGTGATGCCATCCAACGATCTCATCCTGTCGCCCCTTCCCCTTTTATACTGAAATGTGCAGACAACTACTTCCTTCCTTCCATCCTCTATCTTGCTCCCATCTCAGCCTCTAATTACAGTCAAAAGACGCTGCAGGCTTAAGAATCCTTTTCCCTGTCACCAAAGGAGCCTCTAATGAGTTCCTTTCAAAGAGGATATTATGAGGTGGAAATTCCACACTGTATACTGAAAGGAGGAGTACGTGTTATTACTGAGAACTTTTTTCTTTTTAAGAAAGGTGGTTAAATTCTCTTTCCAGACAATAAAAGTTCAATTCATCTATACTGTGGCTGAAATACTACATGTAGATTTGTAATCAAACACGCAAACATCACCGTGGAAATGCCAGGGTAAGATGGAGGCCTGGGGACCAGGGGAGAGAAGGGACGAACCTAACACTTAGAAAACGTAAGATGATTTAAATCACCGGGAGACAGTTTTCTCTATTTCTTTTTTAAAGAAGTCAAATACTTAAATACAAATCATATTCAATGTAACAAAAACACTTCTAAAATACAGAGTCCCCTTAAAGAGCTAGGCCCAAACTCTCGGCTTATTAAAAATTATCTCATTTTTTTTTTATTGTAAGAAAAAAGATTAGTGTCTTTTTCTATAAAGGCACAATTTACAAACCTCATTCATTTTTTCTTCAAATTCAGCCAATGCCTTGGAGCCTTTCTTTTTCTTTTCTAGTTGTTCTTTCAGTTCTTCCCTTCAAAAATAGAATGTACAATAAGTAGTTGTTCAAGCAGTTCAAGTTGTTCAGTTGTTCAAGTTCAAGCAGTTCAAATTAGAGATGGATGCTGACAACAAAAATTTCATAGTTTTTTAATATCCTAATAAGCCTCCATTCCAGTTCCAGTGTTGCTACATTTAAAATTTCTTTGCTCATGTCCTTGTAAATTAATTATCATAATAAATCCTATCAGATAACATAATCATTCCTCTCCAGAACATGGGTTTATAAGAATATTTTATAAAAATTTATATTTATATGTATTTAAATTTATTTAAGTTTATATAAATATACACTAATATTTAAACACCAAACATTTGAGTACTTCCATACAGTAGGTAAGGGCTTCCTAGGTGGCTCAGTGGTAAAGAATCTGCCTGTCAATACAGGAGTCACAGGTTCAATCCCTGGGCTGGGAAGATCCCCTGGAGGAAACGGTAACCCACCCCAGTATTCTTGCATGGAGACTCCCATGGACAGAGGAGCCTGGTGGGCTATAGTCCATGTTGGAAATGACTTAGCAAGTGAGCACACAGGCACACAACAGGTACTGTTTTAAATACATCTTCCTTTAATCCTCACAACAATCCTGAGAAAAGGTAGCATTATTACTCCCATTATATAGGAGAGAAAGAGGCTGTAGCTTAGGGAAGGTCACAAAGCAAGTAGCTGCAGCGTCAGGGTGAGTTAAGGCCTGTATGACTGAACTACTACAGTCTACTACTAAATCACCCACTTTATAATGCACCTGCTTACAAGAAAGAGTGGCCCTGGCTGGCATCTGGGAACTTAGATTTTGGCACTGTCCCCTGATAAGAGCGCTCACCATGCCTATCTATACACATACAACAGTTTATACGAACATCTGCATTCCTTCTGGAAGTCTGAAATTTTGGCAGCTGATAGGCAGAGGCTGACCAATCACCAGTAAAAAAGCTGGACATACTGGATCACACTAGCTGGCCACACCTCACACATGTTATCACAACTCACCACTGAGGGGATTAAAGGCAGCACCCTGTGCGACTCCACAGAAGCAGTCCTAGAAGCTGACTCCCAGTCTCCCCCGGACTTCTCCCCGTGTGCCTTTCTCCTCTGTTGACTGTGCCTGGTATCCTTCCACCATAATAAATCTTGCCCATGAGTACAACTATCTGTGAATCCTTCTAGCAATTACCCAACCTGAGGGTTGTCTTGGGGATGTCTGACCGCATGTATAATTCACTAGCTTAGGCACTTCCCCTTTCCCTTCTCAAAAAAAAAAGATAAAAAGTATTCATCCCTTCTCCCCAATCTTAAAGATAAAACACACTTTGTTTTGCAATAATTTATTTTCCTGTATGCTGCAACAATAAACAATGGCACTGATGAAGGGGCAGACACAGCTTACTTTGTATTTAACTCAAAGGAAGGATTCCTTGTTGTGTGTAAGCACAAGTTTCAACTATAGCTGCCCAGCTCTTGGGGGCCCTTAGAAGGAATAAAAAGCTAACAGCTCTGAATCTTCTCTTATGTCACTTCAGGAGTATGGGTATTTAATAACAAGACATACTGAAAAATAATAATGTTAGAGCTATGATGATTTATTTACGAAAGATCAGAGCCACTCAACAAGGGCAAAACAAAACAAACTTTAACACACAACTTAGACAACGGGAAATCCTAACATACTGTAAAGCCAGCAGATAAAACCAGAAAAAAGGCCTAACATTTTCTTTCTCAACACTTGTTACACCTCAAAGAAAGGTTAAATTATTCAAACCTACCATTTTAAACAGCCTGGAATACTGCAAGGTTAAGGTCTCTTAGGAGACAGAGATGTGTTTGGTATGAAAGATTCTCTGGCAGTGCTTTAGCTTTACCTATACTAGGTGGTGGGTTCCTAAATGCTTGCTTTATATTCATGCATGTGTTTTAAACGTTCAAAAGTAAGCACATATTAAATACTACTTCAAATGATGATGTATCTAGCAACTGCTTGGCAATCAGTAGAAGTTGTAAAATGACCTTTAAAACATTTATGAAAACCTTATATGTATTTATATAGGTAAATTGTTTCACAAATACCAGGTAGGCCTTGGTCGATTCAAGTAATCTTGGATCGTTGGACCTGAAGACTGGATTGGACCCCTTGATCTGGCCATTGCTATTGGGTTCATATAGGCCTTGAGGAAAAAAACAAAAATTAACTCCATTAAAATAATCATTTTCTTACTCATAAAGCAATCTTTACTATAAACGCATACTAGGTCAAACTATGCCAAAGAACTTGAGTTCAAGCTCCCACAAAGTTGTACTCATTTCACATGCTAGCAAAATAATGCTCAAAATCCGTCAAGCTAGGTGTCAACAGTAGAACCGACAACTTCCAGATGTACAAGCTGGATTTAGAAAAAGCACAGGAATAGGACATCAAATTGCCAACATCTGCTGGATCACAGAAAAAACTAGAGAGTTCCAGAAAAACATCTACTTCTGCTTCACTGACTATGCTAAAGCCTTTGACTGTGTAGATCACAGTCAAAGTGTATATTCCACAAACTGAAAATTCTGAAAGAGATGGGAATACCAGACCATCTTACCTGCCTCCTGTGAAACCTGTATGCAGGTGAAGAAGCAACAGTTAGAACTGGACATGGAACAACCACTGGTTCAAAACTGGGAAAGGAGAACGTCAAGGCTGCATACTGTCACCCTGCTTATTTAACTTACAAGCAGAGTACATCATACGAAGTGCTGGGCTGGATAAATCACAAGCTGGAATCAAGACTGCCAGGAGAAATATCAACAAGCTCAGATATACAGATGACATCACACTTATGGCAGAAAGTGAAGAGGAACTAAAGAGCCTCTTGATGAAGGTGAAAGAGGAGAGAGAAAAAGCTGTCTTAAAACTCAACAATCAAAAAACGAAGATCATGGCATCTGGTCCTATCACTTGATGGCAAATGGATGGGGGAAATATGGAAACAGTGTCAGATTTCATTTCTTGGGCTTCAAAATCAATGTGGATGGTGACTGCAGCCATGAAATTAAAAGACACTTTCTCCTTTGAAAAACAGCTATAACCAGCCTAGACAGTGTATTAAAAGCAGAGATATCACTTTGTCAACAAAGGTCCATCTAGTTGAAGCTATGGTTTTTCCAGTAGTCACGTACGGATGTGAGAGATGGACTATAAAGAAAGCTGAGCACCGAAGAATTGATGCTTTTGAACTGTGGTGTTGGAGAAGACTCTTCAGAGTCCCGTGGACAGCATGGAGATCAAGCCAGTCAATCCTAAAGGAAATCAACCCTGAATATTCACTGCAAGGGCTGGTGCTGAAGCTGAAGCTCCAATATTTTGGCCACCTGATGTGAAGAGCTGACTCATTAGAAAAGACCCTGATTCTGGGAAAGACTGAGGGCAGGAGCAGAAGGGGGCAACAGCAGATGAGATGGCTGGATGGCATCACCAACTCAACGGACCTGAGTCTGAGCAAACCAGGGAGACAGTGAAGGACAGAAAGGCCTGGCGCGCTGTGGTGCATGGGGCTGCAGGGCGCTGGACTCACTTAGCAACTGAACAACAACATTAGGCCTCAGAAGTTTGGGAGGTAAGTAATACCACTATTTCACAGAAAATGTATCTTCACCAGAAATTTGATGAAAATAACTTGATACCTCTTCTCTTACTCTCTCCAAAAGCCCAACAAAGCTCTAAGGGTAGGTAAATGAAGAAACTCGGTTTCAAGGATGGAAGACCTAACACTAAATTCATTGTTTATTCTACTTTATCTTTTATCTCAGGAAATACTGTGCCATCCTAATAGCAATTTTATACACAGATGGTTAACTCTCAAAAATTAATTATGCAAGGCAACCAAAGAAAAAATAAACAAAAGTTCAGCAAAATTAAAAATATTTGTGCATCAAAGAATACTATCAAAAGACTGAAAAGACAAACCACAGAATGGAAGAAAATAAAATCCTACAACTCAACAACAAAAAACCCCCAAACCCCATTCAAAAATATGCAAAGGACTCAAGACATTTCTTCAAAGAAGATATACAAGTGTCCAATATGCACATGAAAAGATGTTCGCTGTTACTTGTCATTGTTGTCAACTCTCTGAAACCCCAAGGACTGCAGCATGCCCAGCTCCTCTGTCTTCCCTCATCTCCTGGAGTTTCTAGTCATGAGGGAAGTGCAAATCAAAACAATGAGACACTAGTTGAATGGCTACTATGAAAAACAGCAAATAAAAAGTGTTGTCAAGGATGTGAAGAAATTGGAACCGTTAAGCACTGCAGGTGAGAATAAAAAATGGTGCGGCTGTTTTGGAAAAGTTTGACGATTCCTCAGAAAGTTAAACATAGAATTGCCATATGATTCAGCAACTCCACTTCTAAGTAGGATCGAAGACCGGAAAGGAGGGGCTCAAACAGATACATGTAAACCCACGTTCACAGCAGCGTTATTCACAACAGCCAAAAGGTGGAAACAATCCACACACCCACCTATGGACGAATGGATAAACAAAATGTACTATATATTGGGTTGGTCAAAAAGTTTGTTTGGGTTTTTCCATACCATCTTACAGGAAAATCCAGATGAGCATTTTGGCCAATTCAGTACATACAATGGAATATTATTCAGCCTCAGAAAAGAGTGAAATTCTGGTACATGCTACAACACAGATGAACCCTGGAAGTATAATAAGTGAAATAAAGCAGACACCAACGGACAACTATTGTATGATTCAACTTATTTGGGGTACTTAGAATAAGTGAACTCAGAGACAAAAAAAAGAGTTTACCAGGGGCTGAGAGTGGTGTAATGGGTACAAAGCTTCTTGTTTGAGATAATGAAAAACTTCTGGAAATGCATAGTGGTGATAACTGTATAACACCGTCAATGTATCTAATGCACTATACACTTAAAAATGGTTAAAATGATGAACTTTATGTTATATATATTTCTGTACAATAAAACCCCACAAAACTATAATATTATGCTCTGTAAACTATACTTACTAGAGCAGAAATACATATTTTTATACACCTTGCCCAAAAACATACTGAGACAAAATAAAGCAGAATATTTGTTAATGACAGTGTCTAGCAGACAATGTCTTATTAGAATTCACTTTAGAACAGATACAAAATCCAGTCTTTAATTCAGTCTCAACTTCTTGATCCTATGATTAAGTTTTCCAATTTAATTCAAGTCAATAAACATTTATTAAAAACTCTTCCACTTTTTATTTTATCACAAAAAATGCTTTTAATTATTTAACTTCTTACAGTACTCATAACAGAAACTGACAAATCCATGTTGTTGTTGTTGAGTTGCTAAGTCATGTCCGACTCTTTAACAACCCCATGGACTGTAGCCTGCCAGGCTCTTCTGTCCATGGGATTTCCCAGGCAAGAATACTGGAGTGGGTTGCCATTTCCTTCTCCATCTTCTACTCTTTAAATAAAAAGAAATTTGGTTGAAAACGACTATCACAAAGATTGATTTTAAGGCCTGAAATTTAGTACTTAACATTCCAAAAAAAATTAAAAGGTACTTTCATCCATTGCATTTTACTTAAAATCTTTAAAAATGACAAAATTTTCCACCTTCATAACAAATTTAAGTTATATACGTCTAGATTTCTCTGGCAGAGTAAACAATACACAACCACTGTAAACAACACATTACGAGAATTATTTCTTCAACTGGATACTGCCTGATTACCTGAGATGAAAACGGCTAAAGCTTTAATATAATTTTCTTACAGCTAGAGTTCCTAAGGTCAGAGACATTTACAGGATGGGGGCTACATGTGGCTGTCAATGCAATGTTGAAGACCGAGGCATAAAAGTTATATTTTTAATATCAAATGTTATGCCCTCAAATATTTAATTCAATTGTCTCTACTGAGATTTTTAATCAGTTTATGTGGAAATGACAACCAACAAAGGCCACAACAGAGCAGTTGTTGGCCCACCCAATGACACTGACCATCTTAATGATCAAAAATATAATGTACAAACTGAGATCATCACTTTTAAACCAGGAGTATGTCATAATTTTAGCAGTATTTAATGGTAAACCGTTTTAAGCCTGAACCTGTAAAAACTTTATTTTCAAAGTTATAAATATATACATGGATGTTAAAAACTATATCACCAGAAGAGGAAATATTGAAAATACCCAAATAGCCATCAACCTGAGAGTCATCAAATACACTATATTCCCCAAATGAAATACTAGGTTGGTGCAAATATAACAGTGGTTTTTGCATTGTTGAAATTTGCCGTTTGACACTGGAATACATTCATAATAAATGTGGTCATAATTAATGTACATTTCTCATTTTATGGTTTTTGGTTAATGACTTATTACTTGTTTATTTTATATTTACTTTGGACTATGGAAATGATGTTAGACAAAAAGCAAATTTGAGCGGATTTTCCTATTAAGAGTTCAAAATGCACTGTAAAGCAGTGGAGACAACTCCCAATATCAACAAGGCATTTGGCCCAAGAACTGCTATTGAAATGTACAGAGCAGTGGTAGTTGAAGAAGAGCTGCAGAGGGAAAAAAGAAGAGCCTTGAAGGTGAGGAGCACAGCGGCCAGTCATCTCAAGTTTACAATGGCCATCTGAGAGCAATCATCGAGGGTGATCCTCTTACAGTTACATGAGAAGCTGCCTAAGAACTCAGCAGCAACCATTCTATAGCTGTTTGGCATTTGAAGTGAATTGAAAAGATTAAAAAGCTCGCTAAGTCAGTACCTCATGCTGCTGCTGCTGCTAAGTCACGTCAGTCGTGTCCGACTCTATGTGACCTCATAGATGGCAGCCCACCAGGCTCCCATCCCTGGGATTCTCCAGGCAAGAACACTGGAGTGGGTCGCCATTTCCTTCTCCAGTGCATGAAAGTGAAAAGTGAAAGTGAAGTCGCTCAGTCGTGTCTGACTCTTTGCAACCACATGGACTGCAGCCCACCAGGCTCTTCCGTCCATGGGATTTTCCAGGTAAGAGTACTGGAGTGGGGTGCCATCGCCTTTTCCCAGTACCTCATGAGCTGCCCACAAATTAAAACACCTGTCATTCTGTTCTATGCAACGATTCTTGTTCTATGCAACAATGAACCATTTCTCAGTGAGACTATGCTGTGCCACGAAAAGTGGGTCTTAGTTATAGGCTCTCTGGTTGTGGTGCCCAGGCTCAGCTGCCCCATGGCGCGTGGGATCCTAGTTTCCTGACCAGGGGTCAAACGCACATCCCCTGTACTAGAAGGCAGACTCCCAGCCACTGGGTCACCAGGGAAGTCCCAAGGAAACATTTTCTAATGTTATAGCACACTACCTCGCAGAGCACAGCAGTAATAGCTGAACACCACTGCCTTCATGCTCGCTGCGGGACATTCAGGCCTTGACATGAGCGTGCCGTACTACTGCGCTCTCCTGCCCAGTACACAAAAGCGCAACTACTTGAAGAGGATGCACATACATGACAATATACGCCAGACAGGCGAACTAACTTACGTGACTATACATGCGAAAGCGTGTTTGCATCTTTGAAAGTCTGCAACTTGAAGGTTCGTATGCAGAGGACTTAGTATAGCGGCAATTTTTCATTGTAGTTTTAAATAATCTAAAGACACATTTACTATGTTTTACAGCCTTTAAATTTTCTAGCATATATCTTAAAAACTCATTAATGAGTTTTAATGTCTACTGTGAAACTGCGTCCTCAAAGTACGTATCATCCTATCTTACTGCTTACTTTTCAGAGGAATATAAAATAGTACATTCATATGCTAGGAGTCCATGTTAATCATGGGCAAGTTATGGCACAATTACATGAGCTATTACTGAGTATGTAATAAGGCTTAACTTTCAAGCTTTTGATAAACACTATGCCCAGTCTGCTTAAGTACACTCTAAATAGCTCCATTATTTATTTCAATTACAATGGTAATACTTATGAAGTGCATCTTAAAACCTCCTTGCAAAACACCTGATCATGAGTCTGTGCTCACAATCATTGAGCAACAGTGCTCCTCTTTATGATGCACAACAAAAAGGTTTTAAAAACCAAATAAGTAACCTTTTCACAAAGGTAAAGCTCTTTCACTTACTACGCATAAGTGTGAAAAATAATACTTCTAACATTAGTGTGTTATATATAGTATATATAATGGATGAGCACAGATCAAAATAAATTGTGCAATTTCTTAAAATGTCTATGACTTAATCATTTTAAATACTGTGACCTTTTAAATCAAACACCCATACTTATATGTAACTAGAATTGTCTGTGGCTCCAAACTGCTCCATGAGCTTGGGTAACAGAAAACGGGTTTGCTTTTTGGAAGTCAGGATGGCAAAATGGGCTCAAGGAAATATGAAAGTGGGCAGCTAGGAAAAGAGCAACTGCAGTAAAGTTGTTGAGGACAAAATGTGGAGAACTTCATTTGTTACTTTGATTACCTATTTTTATCTAGAGGATACATCTGTTTTAGTAAAAACAGAAAAGAACATGAAAGAAACCTCTGGAAAATAATGGGCACAAAGGGTGGCCAGTGGCTCAGATGGTATAAAGAATCTTCTGCGATGTGGGAGACCCAGGTTCGATCCTTGGGTCAGGAAGATCCTTTGGAGAAGGGAATGGCTACCCACTCCAATGTTGCTGATTGGAGAATTCCAAGGACAAAGGAGCCTGGTGGGCTACACGGAGTTGCAAAGAGTCGGATAGACTAAGCAACTAACACCTTCATGCTTTATAAATCTCAAGGATTAAAATATTTAGTGGGGGGAAAAAAAGTTGCTTAAGAATGTACAATATCAAAATAAATAAAGAAGAATGTACAATATTAAAAGGGAACTCTAATCTTCCAACCCAGGGATCAACCTAAACTAAGGACTTCAGATGAAAATGATGCGCCAGTGTATGATCATGAGCCATAACAAACATACTGCTCAGGTGTGGGAGTTGAAGATAGGGGAGGCAGGGCGTGTCTATGGGTAAGGAGCATATGGGAACTTTCTGTACTTTCTGCCCAATTTTGCCTTGAGACAAAAACAGCTCCAAAAAGTAAAGCCTATTTTTTAAAAAAAACTTCAACCTGAAATTTATGGCTTTTTAGAAAGCAATTCTGTCATCTCTAAAACCATGATTTTTATCATCAATGTAAAAAGAAAAAAATGCCATTATTTTCAGATGCAAATAGGCATTTGCATTTTATTTCAATGTTCATTTTATTTAAAGTCAAAAGTTATGATGTACTGAACCAAGTTACCAGATGACCCACAGTGTTTTTTTGGGGAGTCCCAGTTTTAATAGTTCCGGGGGCTTCCCTGGTGGCTCAGAGGGTAAAGAATCTGCCTGCAATGCTGGAGATCTGGGTTCGATCCCTGGGTTGGAAGATCCCACTGGAATGGCTATCCACTCCAGTATTCTTGCCTGGAGAATTCCATGGACAGAGGAGCCTGGCAGGCTACAGTCCATGGGGTTGCAAAGAAGTCGGACACGACTGAGCGACCAACACTTTAATAGTTCCACCTCCTCCATTGCAGCGAGAAGGCTGAATTGGGTAACCTGTGTCTTCTATGTCTTAATTTCCTGTTTTCCTTTCTATAACCTTTCAAGCGCATACAAAATGTTACTGGAACTACCTATGCCGAGACAACATACCAAGGAATCAGCAGAGCCCAGAGTCGTCAAAATGCTCTAGTAAATGAAACTAACTTGAAAATTTCGGTTTTCAAATGCTTTAAAAGAAATGTCTAAACTAACACCTTTTGCCAGTAAAACAAAACATCTTAGGCCTTTGCATGAAAACTGTACCCAAGGTCCAGTGATTTCTAAACATTTAAGGCCTCAGGTCATTAAACAGCCAAAACACTCAATACCTGAAGCCTAAGGAAGCTCCATGAGAACACCATTTCAACTCTATGAGAATCAATACCATAAGGTCTGACCTACAGAAAGGAAGGCAGGAGAAAAGAACATTCCTCAACCTTGTAATCAAACTTCACCACTGTGGTTCCTAGACATCTTTGATTACGAAGACTATGAAAAACTAAGATAAGAGTTTTGAACATATGAAGTATTTCAGAGAAGTAAAGCTCTTTGAGCACCTCTCCTTCCCCCAAACAGCAAAGGAAATTAATCGCTTAATTTTTAAAAAGCTAGTTCATTACATTTAGTACATTAACTTCGACAGCATTTTTAAAATTTTGCTGCACGTTGGTTTAAAGCTCTATCATGGCCAAGCCTAGCAACTGTAACCTAAGCTTATCGCAAATTCCTTCTGTTTATGGCCCATCCAATCTGATTCAGAACCTGGGCTTTCCAAACCAAGCTAGTGGACACCTAGAGTGCCTTCCTCCCACCTCCGCCTGTCAAAACGGAGAACCTCGAGTTTTCATCAGTCACTTCTTACATTCTGCTATTAGTTACTTCTCTATCTCTTTCATTTCATTTACAGAGTAACAACTTGCAGACCAAACATTCGCCCGCCCATCTTGCCTTGTGCGGTCTCAACTATTCTACAAAGTTACGGGCTGCACTGATCCCACTTTACAGATGAAAACAGGAACGTATCCTAGGTCATCCAACTCCGGAGAGCCCCAAACCGACATTCCAGCCTGGGTCTGAGTTCAGAGTCAACCATCAAGCCATTTATTCCTTCTCGGGGCCTACTAAGTGCCCCGTGGGCTCCGCAGGTGGCTGAAACTGTAAAGAATCTGCCTGCAATGCAGGAGACCCGGGTTCGATCCCTGCGTCGGGAAGATCCCCTGGAGGAGGGAATGGCAACCCACTCCAGTATTCTTGCCTGGAAAATCCCATGGACAGAAGAGTCTAGCGGGCTACAGTCCATGGGGTCACAAAAGAGTCGGACACGACAGAGCGACGTACACACACACACATACGTAGTGCTGGGCTCTGGGGCCGCATCAAAGCATTTGGCTTTGATCCTGGTTCTCAAACCAGCGAGCCCGCTTGCCTCTTAGAACTGGGCGCCCTGCAGGCCCCCCGGGTGTAGGGAGTGCGTCCAAGACTTCCGCGCCTCGGGGTCACCCGAGTGCGCGAGAGGGGCGCAGAGATGGGGCGGGCGATACCGGTCGGGGTGGCGGGGGCGAGTTCCGGCGCCTTCTCGGGCCTCAGACTTCGGACTTGTTTACAGGAGGGGTCAGAGGACCCTTGGCGGCTGTATAAGGTGGGCACTGCTGGCCCGAATGCGGGAAAGGATGCCAGAGAGCACTGCCAGAGGGTGCGGCAGGGCTGACCGGATGTAAAGAAAAGGGGGGCCAGAGAGACAAGGGAAAGGAGTGGGGGGCCCACAGGCGCCAACGGCGTGCGCGGCGCAAGCGCGTCCGGGGCCGGCCTCGCTCTGGGGGGAGCCGGGTCTCCAGTCTCAAGGTCCGAGCGCCGCGGCTGACTCAGGCCCAGCCGGGAAGGGCGAGCGGTCCCGCTCTCCCGCCGCCGGGCCCCGCGTCGCCCCACTGTTTTCCCCGCCGAGTACTCACCACTCTATTGTCCCGCTTCCCCATGGTGCCGGACTGAGAGCTCAGCCAGCCCTCAGCGGGGAGACCAGGCCAGCGCCGCCACCGAAGAGGGCCCGAAGCAGGTCCTTCGGCCAACTCCCCACCCCATTGAGAGAGCGAGGCCTCGCGGACCCGGCGGCCGCGGGAGCCCACAGCGCCACCTACCGCCTCGGAGGAGAGGCGGGCGCCCGCGCTCACTTGCAGTTCCCAGGGGTCGCCTGGGGATTCCTGTCCTTTGCCACTCACCCAGTACAGCCGCATTGGAGAAGGAAGTGGCAACCCACTCCAGTGTTCTTGCCTGGAGAGTCCCAGGGACAGCGGAGCCTGGTGGGCTGCCGTCTAGGGGGTCGCGCAGAGTCGGACACGACTGAAGCGACTCAGCAGCAGCAGCGGCAATACAGCAGCATGGCCCCGGCAGCTGCTTTCTGTTTGGCCTTGGATTGTTTCGCTTTCTGCCATTCCTCATGTACTGAAATCCTCATTCCAGAGGATACAATGATTATTCCAAGGCCTGTTGTGTCCCACTGTTATTCCACTACGCCTGTGCGCTTGGCATAGTGCGGATGCTGGGGATAGATAAAGAGAGGACTAGGACGGAGGCAATCCCTCAGAATCCATCGAGTGGTGGCAGAGAAGTCGGTGTTCTCATAGATATTGCTAAAGACGTTGCCTTTTAAGCTCAGTTCCGTTCATCTATCGCTCATGTATCCATTTCACACTAATTTTTAAACACCTGTGCTGTGCTTAGTCGCTGAGTCGTGTCCAACTCTTTGAGACCCCATAGACTGTAGCCCACCAGGCTCCTCTGTCCATGGGATTCTCCAGGCAAGAATACTGGAGTGGGTTGCTATGCCCTCCTCCAGGGGATCTTCCCGACCCAAGAATCGAACCCTGGTCTCCCGCATTGCAGGAGGATTTTTTTTTTTTACCCTTTGAGCCACCAGGAAAGCCCTTTGAACACCTACTTGGTGTAATTCTCGGAGTGACTGGAAGCTGGATACGAGCAAGACACAAAGATAAGATTAAAACACAAGTGCTACCTTCAAAGGGCCTGTTTATAAGCTAGTTAGGGAGATAGATAAACACAGGGTCAATTTGACTACATGGCATGCCATAATAATGTCAGTAAAACACTAAAACTTCAAGGGAGGTGTTCCGGGGCTTCAGAGGTGTCATTATATTCACTTAGAATTAATAGATCTGGATAAACCTGGATCCATCTCAGCACAACATCATTAGAAATTGAAAATCAATTTGGATCTTTTGTAGACTCTTAGAAAACGTCAAAATGGGCTTATACTCAAATATAAGAAAACTCCTTAAAACCACCTTCCCACTTTGTCTCCCCCTCCTTCCCTTTCTCACGCTGTGTCACACAACAAATGATGCCAACTCCCGTTCTCTCAGAACTTTCCCAGACTCTCAAATGCAGCCACTGGGGGTTCTATTCCATACTGAAAGTTCATTCTCCTTAGTAACACCGCTTTACTTCTTACTGTAAATTGGGTCTCCAAGATTTCATTTCTCCTCCTCCTTCTCCCTCACCCCTGACTTAAGCTGGGGATCCTCTTACCAAGGACAGGCTTCTCTGTCTGAACAAGATGAAGTTTGTTTTCATGGCTTATTGATGGTGTTTTTCATATCTCAGGAACTTTACAGGTATTAACCCTGTCAGGAGGATCTTTTTCTTATGTTTTCTTCAGCAAGTTTTATAGTTTCAGCTCTATGTTAGGTCCATGATCCATTTTGAATTGTTTTTCATGGTGTAAAGTAAGGATCAAGCTTCATTTTCTTTTACCCATCTGGATATCCAGTTTCTCCTGAACCATTTAATGGAAAGATTATCCTTTTTTCATTGAATTAACATATTAGTTTGCTAGGGCTGTTACAAATATGACTTCCTGGGGTCCGTCGCTGTCCACAAGGAGTTCTTCCCTAGAGAACTGGGAGTTATAAACTGGGCTCACAGTCCAGAGAGAAAAATCAGTGGCGGAGGCCTACTGTGCTTTTAATGGAGTGAGGTTCTAAGTGAGCTAAACAGATACAGAGATAACTAACTAGCTGAAAGTCTTTTGTAAACCACTTTGAAGAAAATGGTCCAGCTAAACCTGGTTGTGGATGCCTATGATTTGTGGAAACAGGTAGTTATGACTGATCTGTTAGCAAAGAGCAAACTTTCCATTTCTTAATAAAGATCAAATTGCTGACTCTCTGTATCATCCCTTCTGCATATTCTGTATAGATCCTAAAAATGTAGATGCAATTTAGGGCCTGTTAAAAAGTTAAGACAAGTCTTAAGGAGAGCTCCCAAGGAATTCTGGAGGACTAATGTTAAAATACCTGATATTGGACACAAAGATGGGAATATAAATATCAGACAGTGACTATAGTCTCACTTTTGGTTTGCCCTTAGCATGTCAGGAGCTGCTACATCTACCACTCTGATCTAGTATGTAAGTCAAACAGAAATGGGCACACATTAGCAGAAATTGTCTCCCTCTTTAAAATCCTTCAGTGGTTCCAAACTCCTTTATATGGCATATTAAGCTCTTCTGGACCTCACTCCCCTCCCCCTTACAGTTTTAAATCATTGAGTCATGGCCTATTGGTGGAGTTATATGAAGTGAATTTAGTGGCTTTCCACCAGTATTTTCAAAGTGTGGAGGATAATAAGAAAACCTGTGTGGGACACGCAGTATCATTTTGTGGTATGTAAGTTTCCAATACGTGTTTATGTGTGTCCATGTGTGCGCCAGCCATACTCTTAGATTATATTTCTTTCTGTAGGTTATGATCCAAAAGCTTAAAAGCCACTGCTCCAGGTGTGGTCTCACCAATCTCCTGCCTTTTCCTGTCTGCTATTTCATAACTGCAGGCTTCTGCAGACACAAAGTATTTCTCCTTGAGTGACTGACCAGCATTAACTTTTCAGTCCCCTCAAGCACCATTTCTGCTATCCAGGTGACTTGGTGGCAAAGAATCTGCCTGCCAATGAAGGAAATATAGGTTTGATTCTTGGTCCGGGAAGATCCTCTGGAGGAGGAAATGGCAACCCACTTCAGTATTCTTGCCTGGGAAATTCCATGGACAGAGGAGCCTGGTGGGCTACAGTCCATGGGGTCGCAGAATTGGATACGTCTGAACACACCCACACAGGTGCAAGCAACATTTCCAGCGTGAAATCTTTGTTCCTCCCCATGTTATCAGCAATTGGTTACACAAACCTTTTTCATAGTCTCAGTCTGGAAGTTTCAGAAAGGACTGCTCCTGGTGCTTTACTTATTTTTGGGTCTTCAGTGATTACGGCAGTCGACTAATTAGAGCTTACTAAGAATGTGTTATGGAAAATGTAAGTTCAATGAGTAGCTACTTTTAAACATTTGAAGCCTGAAAAGGAGGCTCTTAAAAATTTGAAACATATTCTGCTAAAACTTGCAATTGTATGTTACTTTACTCACAAGAATTACATTTATTTTACATTAAAGCAGAAAGAAAAACAGCTAGAATAGTAATTCATCTCCAAGAAAGCAGATCAAAATTGCTGTTTTTATTATTTTTATTTGCTACCAAGAGTTTTATTGTAAGAAATACAAAAGATATGACAAATATACAAACCATTGTCTCTTTTTTTGCCTCAATTCAGCTTGTGCATAAGTGAAAACAATGAACTGGACAATGACATTTCAACACCAATTCTTAAAAGACAATGAGTTCCATTACCTGACAATAAATACCTAAATTTGCATTCTAGCACCCAGTAAGACATCCAGTTTCCAAAGGATTCTTGATCTGTAACCCTCTGAATTTTCTGATACGTTCCATTGCTTCAGTCACCACGGGTAGTTCCTCTCCAAACAAGTCTTAAGAGTAAGAGCTAGGAGACCCACCTTCGCCCTCAGCAACCTGGGTCATCATGCACCACTTATTTGAGCTAATTCAGAACAGATCGCTAGCAATGGTGGCATTTAATGTGTGTTTTGGCGGCCCTTGGATTACATATCTCCCATGACACAAATACCTACTCTTCTATTTTCCTCTTCCAGTGGGAAGAGTCTAAGTAAACTGACCTATATTTTCACCTAGCTAAAAGGAAGGAAGCAAAATCACTCAGTTCAGGCACTAGGAGGAGGCTAATTTTACAGATTGGCTTTCTTTTTTTTTTTTTTCCTTTTCTTTCTTTTCTGTTTTTTTTTTTTTTTTTTTTGCCTCAGGAGGGCTTTCTACGAGGTTGGCCGCTAGAGTGAGACGGCTCTTTCCATTCTCCTGTCTACACCCGAGGTCATTTCTCTTTGAGGGCTAAGTGACCTGGGTATGTAGGAAGGCCCCTGCTTGTGGAGAGGTGCGCTGCACCCACACTTGGGGAGAGCACAGGGCTTGTGGACCCCGTGAGGAAGGCCACCCCGGTGAACCTCACACAGGGTGGGAACTCTCCATCTGTGGATAGAGAAAAGAGTGGAAGCCGTATCTACCACCAAGCCATCTGCCAACATTCGGGTAAACCTGTGTCCCCGGCAGTGAGCTTCTGCACTGCTTCTCCAACCTGCTGAACCCAAAGCACCGGAACAGAGCATTCTGTAGCAATGTGAGCAAACGGAATGAGAGTCATTTCGCACCTTTAAGGAACATGCACCCTTGTAAGTCTGTACCCTGATATTAAAATAGCAGAATGAGTTTCAAGTATGAAGAAATACAGTGAAAGGATAGCCTGTAGATGGATAGAAAACAGCAGCCTGGAATGTGCTTTATATTCTTGGGTTAGTTTCTCTATTTGCACCACAGCCGAAACGGAATGCTCTGTAGAATGACTGGGTTTAAAAATCAAGATCCCTACGAAGAGGCTAGAAGGCATTTGTGATTGGTGTCCTGACTGTTCTCTGTGTTCAGCACCAGGAACCTTCTTTTGAGAACTAAGGCCATAGGGATGGTGGCCAAGCCTGGACAGGCATACCTGGGATGCTTAAAGCATCTCTCGTCATGTCCCTGACCCCAAAGTACAGCAGAGGAGG